GAATGGGGTGGGGGTAGCGGTAGGGGGGTGAGGGTGGGATAATATACTACATTTCCTGTAGAAGCTAATAATAAACGTAATAATAACCGATTTTCGCCTTAGAACGAGCCAAGGGTTTCAAATGAAGTTATTATGTAATAAATTATTATTGATCGATAAATCATCCCCGAAAGATTATAATATAAGTGTTACACTCGCCCATCCTAGCTTTCCTCTAAACTAAGCTGCAAAATATTCTCGCCATTTAATCCTAAGTAAGCTTAGACCCTTTGCATAAAAAGTTCTAATCATATCCACATGCACCCTCAAAAACTCTTTTCATTGCACAAAAACAAAAGAAGCGTTAATGAGGTCATGGTTCTATTGCATCATTGTGAACCTGCCTAACTGCCTGCCTGCCTGCCTGCCTGCCAACCGACCAACCAACCAAACAATTAACCGACCACCCAACAAACCAATCACCCTTCCAAATAACCAACCGACCAACCAACCAACAATTAACTAACCAAAAGAACCACCCAACAAACACTAAACTTTACAAACAGCCAACCAATCAAACTGCCGCCTTAGCAAACTAATCTATCAAACCATTAACCAGTCAAGGATACTTGGCTTGAACTGAAGTAATGACTCCAAAGATGAAAATACTACTGTCTCTATCGTCTACTCTCTATATAAATTTTAATATGGAAATAAAAACGGCTCATGCACTTGATGAAGAAGGCCTGCCTACATGTTCCATATCCATTGCAGCTGCTGATGGACAGATTATTTTCACATATTTGAAAGAAAGACACGGACAATTATAGCAAGATAAAACTGAAAAGATAAAATCAATATGCTAACCAAACATCCCCAACTGTTCCACCCCTTCAAAATTAAAATTCATTTAGACTCATGGACAAAAACTGTTAAGAATTGTTGATATTTTTCAGTGAAAAACCAGCATTTTTATGAATCTAAATTGCAATTCAATTCTTCTTTCAGCACAATGTTGGTCCAAACAGGTTTTACTGAAATGTGGCTGTTTCTTGCCAAACCAACAATTGTTTTAGGGGGATGGAGTGTTTAACTATTCTCACATTTTAAATTTGTTCAAGATTGTAGTCAAGAAGGAAACCATACATCTCAGATGGCTCTTTGGGAATAGATATCTCTATCAACTATAACATGTACAGGAGATTCTTTTTTTAGATCATTAAAACAAATTTGTCTCTTAGTTTTGTTTGTGAAGAATAGACAATGTTAAACTATCAGATGTGATATACACTTGATTCAATGGACGTCAGATTTACTTTGCACAGGTCATAAGAGTCAAATAAAATATGTCGTTGATGTTAATCTCGCAGTAAAATCTGAAGATAATAGAATGAAAAAAAACTAATAAGTACAGCTATAGCTTACCTTTGCTGTATTCCTCCTTCACTAGCTACCCTACCCAAGGATTCTCTCCCTTCTACTTTCAACTCCCAACACACAGTTACTACATATGCGCACACGTAGTTTATATGGTATCCCATGATGCAGCAGGGACACATTTGTGAAACAGCTCAAAATACATTTGATCATATGGTCTCAGCTGAGAATTGTCTTGGAATGCAATGAATTAACGACAAGGAGATACTCGCCGGCAGCCATGTTGGATGATAAAGCTTAACAACGAAAAGCCCGCAGGGGTTGCACGATGAAGGATTGACCTGAATTTGATCCATGCAGGGTTTTACATGGAAAAAGTAACCCTAACACCATGAGCATCTATGATGATATGTTTGGGACACTATATACCGTGGCCAGTGCTACTAACATAAAACCGAGATACTACACATTCCTATTACAGACTGAGTCGCACACAATAGTGATCTCCTTTTTGGTATCTAAGCTGGAAGACGTTTCTATAAGATGACCCCATCTAACCGCATTGTCAAAGAATGTGGTTGCACTTCCGGTGAAGTGGAGGTAGTGATGAGATACTTGGGGAGTGACAGGGGAAAGATACACTTTACCTAGCTGTATTTTCGTTTTCCTTCAAATCAGAGAATATCATTTACTTGCAAAGGTGCAACTACTTATACAATACRTAAAACATTTTTTATCTAATGTAGGTGATGTCACATATGCAAGGACAAGACCTATGCAAGTAGTTCATCCGATCCTTACCTGTCCGTCCTTGACTTACGCCCGTTCCAAGATTTTCTCAGGGATTTTTGGAATGGAAAGCGATTGCACGGGCGCGGATGCAGGGGTGGTGATGGGGTTGGCTAGATAGCCATCCCCCTTTTTCTAAAGTTTCTCAGCATTTTCCTTAGTAAACCCCCCCTTTTCCTCGCATTCCTGGTAAAACCTTTGTAATCGTCACTCCCCTTCTTAAATTCCTGGATTTGCCACTGTATTGGTTTAGTCTTCTAGTGTACCTGTTCTATACGGCTTGGACGGTCAGTGATTAAATATGCCTCAATCTTCAATAATCCGACGCGGCATAACCAGGCACTGAGTTCATTTGCAGTTTAGTAAGAGATCATTCATTAAACATGACTAAAAGTGCTTTAACATATGTATATATTCACGTACATGATTTTTTACTATTTCAATTTTTATGCCCATCATTGGTTATTATCTTATATATTTGATTGACTCTTAATGTTATTGTTCAAATGTTAGTGAAGGAATACACGATAAGACATGCCTGCTTTCCCCCACTCCTCCCTGTGTCAAATTCCAAGACCCTTCCAAAGAACGTGTTGTTTGCCACGCACGTCCTGTTCCATCAATTGACAGAACGTTCCAAATAACATAACGTAAATGAGCTAGTTTGATTTTGTAATCTTTTAGTTACCAAGACTGCGGTTGTTTATATACCTCACAGATGGTTTTGCGTTCTTCCCCATCATGGCTGAACGTTTATCAGAGATTCTGGTTTCTGTGGTGAAAGAAATCAGGTTGGGTTCTGTACAAACTGTTCTAGTTTTATCTTGTTTACTTGTGTATTACACGTGGCTTTTGTGCAGCTAACAAACATAGACTTCTACTGTTACCTGCTTGAATAAAGAACGATAGGAAGGAAAGGAAAAGAAGGATAAAATAAGAGCCAAAAGAAAAGAGATTTGAGAATTCAAAAGAAGAGAATAAAAGGAAAGAGAAGAGCAGACGCTTGCAACCGTCTTGTCCATCTTGCTGAACGGCGGTGCCTCGCATTACAATCATTCATAATTCAATATAAGTGGTGATGATTTTCGATTACGTTCATGAGTGGCATTGCTTGAAACTCCGGTTCATAGGAAATAAAAGTGTCAGCCATATTTAATCAATAGCAATTCACTTTTGCATTCTACAATTATTTCTTCATGAAAGGTTAAAAATGGGGGTCGTTTGGGTTGACAGCTTGCTTGAAATTTCATTATGTCCAACCCTTAGACTTTGATTAATGTAAGTGTGGGGTAAGATTGCAATGAGTAAGGTAAAGAGGGAAGAGGATGCGATGTAGAGTGTTCGATTGTGAAGTCATATGGGTTGCATTTCTTGCTTAGCCTGCGTTGAGAGGGGGGAGATGGGGGGCAGGTGAAAATTTAAAATGTCCAGAATAATTCTTAACACCCCCCTGAAAGTCATGCAAAAAAATACGATCCCCCCTAAGCAAGGCCCCCTAATTGTTCTGATAAAAATTTGCCCATACCCCATTTTTCCTACCAAAATTTTCCTGGTGCCCCCTTAATTTCACCTGCCCCCCTCCCCCTCTGACATACATTATGAGCGCAGCCTTATTAACAATGATAGGCACAGAGTAAAACTTAAACTATAAGAAAACCAGTGCAGCTAGTATTTGAGGGATATTACAGATTTGAATGTCACAAGGAGTGCATTTTAAYTCCGCCTTTTTGAGGAGTGGATATGGCTTGGGATGGACTGCACTGTGCTGAAGAGGGGTGGGGTTGGGTATCCAAAGATATCTGCGTAGTCAATTTAGCTGACAAATATTTAAAAAAAGAAGAGAAAGCTTTATATTGACAATGAACCAGAAAATACCAGATTTACAATTTATGAACCACACTTTAACATTGAAACCTGTAAGGCCAAGGGACTGACCAACTTTAGAGCCTCAGTGGCAAGGTATAGTTGGCCAGTGATGCTTGTAATGAAAGAAAATGAAAGCACATTTATAGCCACCAACTTATCGAAGTGTTGTTTTTTCTGCTACTAGGCCGGGTTGTTCAAAGCTGGATTAGCGCTAATCGAGGATTAACTCTATAGGTCTTATTAAGAATTAACCCAGGATTATCACTAATCGGGCTCTGAACAACTGAGCCCTACTATTTTTTTGCTGCTGCTAATGATGATGATTATACTGTTACATCACTAATACGGGAACCAGCAGGAACAGCATCAGTACTAAGGGGTCTGAATGTAAGGTAGCTGTAGTATTTGTTGCATCACCACGAGCATGCCGATTAGTAACATCAGTAGCAATTATCAACAGCAACAGCTTGCAAGAACAGCAGAGTGCCACAAGGGTTTTTGGCAGTGGTACCCGCACTAACTAAAGACAGCAGAAGCATCATTAATATTTTGAAAGAGCGCGCAGTGGTACAGGAGTGGCACCAATACTTAGTTTTGCAGCCGTTGTCGGAAGAACAAGAGTAGCAGCAGTGAATAGTAAATGGTGAAATAGCAAACCTAAGTAGTAGTGACAAGCCTTGTATAGTCGTAGCTAGCGGTGCTGTATTTTGATGGGGCAAACAATGTCCAAAATACAAATACATATGATAATAGTATGATTCAGACACATAGGGTACAGTATGAGAGGGACAATTGGTTCGCCAAAAAATGTCCCCTCTTATTTCGATCGACAAACTTATATACACCTATTTCAAAAACTATTTTCTTACCGAATAAGGGATGCTATATAGAAAGTGAACGTTAAAGGTTCAAAGGCTTTTATTTTCCACACTTATCTTGTTACTGCGTAATCATATAAACTTACAGGTATTTACAGTGGTAGGGTACAGGACTACAACCCAAATTGGTTAATAAAGAAGTACCCTGTACCCTAGCAAGTGCACCATTACCATGTAGGAATTTAGTATTTAAAGTATTCTTATTTTTTTAAGTTTTTTTTTAATGAATGTTAGTTAAATGGTGGTTTTGACTTCAATATTATCAGATATCATTCGAGATGCACATGTATTCCCTTGGGTAGCACTCTTTATTTACAAGACTGACAACCTAGCTGTATACATAATTCTAGAAATATTGTATTCATAATCATCTTATCACGCGGATGATTTAGTTTATAGCTTTCTATTTGCTTTTCTATGGATAAGTCAGTGCCATGTTCCTTTGGACCCCTGGGATCTTCAAGTTTGCAGAGGGATCAGTAATAACGTACTTCTAGGGTAAAAGTCCAAACATTCATCTCCTGAAGAAAAGCGGCGGGTAGAGAAGAAACCTACACTGCACCACCAGCTCAACAAGACTAAAATAATCCACATGTTAAGTTGGCTAGGGCTATGACTTTTATCATTTAACAAAATGCCAGCAAGAACCTTACCACTGATCAATTAAAGTTAGAGGGTCTGCTGGAAAGAATCGCCTTGGGGCAACAAAACTAAGACCGACCGATATAGGAATCGAAAGAAAACAGAAATACAAAAAAATAAAGAAAGTAATATTTCTTGTTTTTCAATAAAGAAAATCATTCTTCATTCGTAATCCGGATCACACACGTTCGCAGATTTTGAGCCAAACGTATGCTTTATATGAGTCACGTGAATGAGCATGATTCTGACGGCGATTCACGCACTGAGTCTCTGTGGGTATTAAGACAAGACAATCATGTACAAAAAAAAAAAAAAGAAAAAAAACAAAAAACGATAGAAGTATTCCATGCAAAATATTTTCAAAATATCTCGATCGGTAAAGATTTATAGAATTATAATAACATAATGTCGAGGAAACTGAATGAGAATGATTTCGTGATTTTTATATCTACTGATAACATATTCACGAATCAGGTACTTGAATTATGAAATTACATTTCGTTTAAAATTTCAATAGCATCACGAAAATACCCGTTAAAGAATAGATTCTAACTAAAGGGAATACTGACATGTGGTCTGGCATGATCTAAAAAGAAAACTATGCAGCCAAATTATAGGGGCAGGTTTTTGATTAGTTATCTTTCTATAACTTCCTCAAAGGTTATTTCAGTAACACTGACACAGTTGTTCGCATCTTGGTTGACCAACTCCATCAACCACAGTCAATAAAGATGATTATCAGGGAAATATGTGCTTAATTCTGTAACCATAAATCTGTGATTTACAATTGAACTACGATTTTGTTTGTTTTGATGTGGAAACTCTTTTCCATGAAGTCTAGCCTTGTTTAGGATATACAATACTAATTGCTCATCAATGGAAAATGGAATAACATTTTAGTGTTATAACAAGAATAGCAGCTTCTTTTAGCTGCACGCGAAGTGCAAGCTCTAGACCACATTTACTTTTTGTCTAGTAAGGATAATAGCAAGGGCGTACCTCTCACTACGTACGTTCAGTGGGATAGCATCAGTCAAGAGCAAAATGAAAATTCCTTTAATTGGATCAAACTTGAACAACGACTTTTTGCCACCTCAAAGGTCTTTCTAAAACCATTAACATGTATCAAAATATATTTACAAAGGTGATTATAGTATCGTACTACTTTGTATCATCTCTGTTACATTGAAACAACAACATTAAAGACTTAACTAGATAAAGTTGGTCATGGAATTTTCATTAGTGCACAAGTACAGAGAGAGTATACCACTGATATATGCTCAGAGGAGGTCTAAAAGAGAGGATAAGGAGATCAACTTGATCTTGCTGTAAATACCTTGAAACTTGTCATGTTAATACTACTAGAAATTCTGCTTACATTTTGGTGTATATGCCTGTCTAAATGCCAGATAAACGTCTTCTAGAAAGCTACTAACAGGTACTTTTTTCTACTTGCTGCTGCCTTGAGACTAGTGACTAAACTAGTGGTGTACCAGGATTGGGAAACTATATAAAAAACTTAAAGAGTGAGCCCAAACATTCACACAAATAAATGTCTATTAAGAAGAAATTCCATAATTTTTTATTCAGTTTATTTTTGCATTTGATCATCTTTAAAGCCATCAATAATGAGCCAGGCAATCGAAGTTTTCGGTAGAAAACTAACAGTTACGTCATATGTGGCTGTAATTTTAAAACCATTATAAACTCATAGTAAACCCCAACCCTTCATGCAGAGAGACCAACTTCGATTCCTTTTGGTCTGAAATTTTCCATTCATGTATATCCTTCAGCACGGTGGCATGAACTAACAACTCTCTTACGCCTGTCTATACATCCTTCTGGCTTGTTTCTGTGAATGTTGCCTTCATTAGTGTGCACATATGTTTGTTCTTGTATATAAAATCATGAACAAGCAGTGTCCAGCTTTACTGGTTTTTATTTGGGCTATTTTGTTAGCTTTGTACCGACAATTAAGCTATTTTAAAATCAGGGGAAAACTGTAAGGTTGATATTGATATTGGTTTTCACGGCGGTCATGTTGGAGGAACTTAAACAAAAGAATTGTCAATGAATTCTTTTGTTATATCCTCCAACGTGGCCACCGTGTCGTTTGTTATTTAATTCTCTTGGGAATGGTTGAAAACCATCAATAGTATGTATAATACATGAATGTAACACTTTATGGCCAATGTATCTTTAAAAAAATCTCTCTGGCACTTAATGCTATTTTCTCTCCTACTGCCTTTTTTACTATCATAAACTTTTAAATGTCTATTATGATCCTATACTATGCAATAAACTTAAGAATTCACCAGTGACTCAGTGTTTGCCTTGCCTTTGCAGCAATTAAAGTTTAATCAATCTTAATCAATATCCAAGGCCTCGAACAAGTTTGAAACCTCAAGAAAAAAATATGTAGAAATGGTTTTGTTCAGGAGTTTCTTGTCCACATTCCCCCCCCCCCCCCCCCCCCCCCCGGCACCATTGACTAAATGTTTCATCAAATATAATTGATGGTCATTCAGTTCGACGACCACTTTATTTGGGCGGCCAAAGATGTTCGGAGTGAGTGAAGTCAAGAAGATACACCCTTCATCAAATTGAACTTGACGCTTGCCATATTTGAAAGGTCAAGGTGTATTTTTTATAAAGAATAACTCGATATAGGGCTTCTCTATGACATTTTCAATAAGCTCTATAAACGAACCATTCCACGTGTAGAACATGTTTGCTTTTTTTCGAGTTTGCTTGAAAAGAGAARAGAAAATTTCAACTCAAAGCTGAAGTTCCTCGAAATTTTCTGTCAAAGGCATTTAAGAATCTGTCCAAATGTCTAGATATGGTTTTCACGTAAACGTAAAACGTACTACTGAAAGCGCAAGTTTTTCTTGACATTGATAGGGACGATGAGGCATGATCAAATGAAGGTCAGAGAAAAACCACAAGACCTATTCTTACTAGTCAGCAGTACTCATAGACATGGATTGAGTAGTGCTTGTCCTATCTCCTAGCAATAACCGACATGCCATGTACTGAAAAACATACGTTTTTGTTGCTGTGGGCGATTTTAAATTCATTCTTTGGGTTCAATGTAAAAAGGTTCAAGCATTGTTCCTGCTTGTTTTCTGGTTTTCCTCCATCCGTAAAAATCAACATGTGAGTTGAGTGTTTGTAAATATAGGATGTGGTGGTAGTGTGATTGGAGCGAACGTCACGGAAGAGCCCCGTACGGGCCCTGATGGTTGTAAAATATATAGTACGAGCAGAGTACAAGTAAAGAAGCAAAGCAAGGTAAATCAGGTCAGATTAAATCAAAAAGTTTCATACCCTTATATTCACTTTAAAATCTTTTCGTTTGTCGTATTTATGATTTGGCCCTTATCTAAGGTGTTGCTGTATCGTTGGCGGTTGTGGTCGTTGTGGTCAGTGGTCAGACGGGTGTAGTGTTATTGCATTATTTTGTTTAGAAATCAATAAAATATTTTAGTTATTTTCAGCAGTGCTCATCTTTTCATTTTTCTTGTTAAAGAAGTATTCTTCCTCATCTGGCGGGTAAAATATATTTTTAAATGAATGAACTAGAACTAGTTAAAAATTTCTGGTGTCTGAGAAAATCGAACGAGATTGACAAATCCAAAAAACTGTTTCCTGCATGTGGTTTGTAAAAAGTGATAGAAATGCTGATAAAACAGAAAGTTATAATATTGAAATATAGAAGAAAGAGAAAACTAAAAGAAAAAAGATCTTTATCGATTGAAGTAACGTTCCTATTCTTCAGTTCTCAATGGCATTTTTTTCCATGTAACCAAGCACAGAATTTCAAGTTCCCTTTTTAGCATTATTTCATTAATATTTATTTGCCTTCTTATTATTATTCTGGTTCCGTAATGATAGGATGTAGATCGTTCAGCTTAGTCCCTTAATACTGGTTAAGATAAGGGAGGCAGGCATCAAATCAGTCAAGATTCCCCCCGCTAATGTCTTTTCGTCTTGACTTCRATTTCCTTATGGCTTGTCGTATCAGAGTTGGTACGTTTAATACATTTATGGTACTTATGTATTTCGTGCTACGTATATGTAAATACAAATATCCATTGAGATTCATATTTGCTTTTGACCTTCAGATACTGACATCTGGAAAGATTAACACGATGGTATAAATAAACTGAATGAGAGACAAAACAAAAGATCGCTGACTGGAAACAAAACTGGACGCCGTTTTAGGAAGGGTGACATCTTTATTCTAGCTCCATTTCAAAGATTGAGTTATCGCTCTAAGTAAGCGATTAGGGAATCAAACGATCAGTAAATAAAAGATCTAAAAGCACAATATTTTTTAAAGATAGCGTAGGAGATAAGGATTCTGGATTAAAGTACTACGAAAATAATGAAAAAATACTATGAAAAAATAATAAATGCTTCGTGGAGTAAGGGAAAAAAAATTGCTAAAAATGCCCTAGGCTAAAGAAATGACGTACTAATGAAAGAAAAATGGTAACTAATTGGTTATTAATTGGGAAAAATTGCATCATATACAGATGATAAATGCTTATTGAATTAGAATGGTATTCATTTAAGAGATTAGGCTCAAATCTAAAACGCGCGTAATAGATTTGGACCTAAACCTTAGATGACTGTAATTAGCTACTGAAGGCTAATGTCAGGCAGACGCTGGCTGTCTTAATGGCAAAAGACCCCTGATAATATCACAGTCAATAATTAATGCAAGGCTCYCTTTTAAGTGAAAATGGATCTAATTTTGCGTGCTATCAAACTGTTGAGTGCTGCGTCCGTTTTGTCCCATCCAAGCTGTCATCGAGTACTTTGGATGGTTGGAACTGGGCACAAGTTAATGGCGGAGGAGCACGCTACGACGAAGAGTCGCGCTCCATTTAGACAAACTTCAAAAGCATCTTGACTCGAAGAGGATCTCTAGAAGAAGTAGTTTGAGCAATTAATCGAGCAAAAAAGCCCTCGACAATAAGGCTGCCTGTTTCGTGAGGATTATTGTCGTTATCACACATCATATTGGAGCTGTCTTGTCAAGGAGAGAAAGAGGCGTGGAACAGGCCAACTGATTTTGACCTTTTGCAAGAGCTGATACACACATAGACCTTTGATGAAATGCAGTTCGCATGAACTATCAAAAATGATTGACGTCAACTGAGTGATAATTCCTTAAACTCGTATAGAAAGCTCTCCACTTTGATGTGCTTTTCACTCTGTTTTGACAAGGAGAAAGAGCAGCGCTCTCATGTTTCTACTACACCGCTTAAAAGCTGCTACATTTCGTATCAATTCGCATAGACCGACGCATTGGCACAGCCACCAATACTCTGTTTATTTTCACTTCATTTCCGGTTCTCGGAGGGTCACGTTCTTTTAGCATTCTTTGATAGCTTTGGGACCTTTTAGACAGAGAGACKTTGATCAAGTCCGTCCAATTATTACAGCCGTTTCCGGGATTTTGTCTTCCAAAGGAAATAGATGGCTTACATCTTGTCAGAACACAACTGAAGAGTCTGTAAGAAAAATGGATTCCAATCCAGTCCTTGACCCTCCTAATCAAACGGATTAAGGTGGACCTGGCTAAATTAAAAAACCCGCAACTCGTACAGAAATAGATAAGAAACAATGCTGCCAAAATTCAAATTCAAAATTCAACAAAATTCAACAAATTCAATTAGCCACGAGTTTAAAACTTTTATGAGTTTCTTTCTCGAACTTTAAAGGCAAATAATGACGTGTACTAATAAAGGTTCTCTTCTTTACGCCAATAAATCAGAAACTATAATTAAAGGAAGAAGAAAACAATTGTTTACAGAAAGCAACAGATGATGTCAAAAAAGATCACCCAAAATTACAGATAAAATTCTTCAAATCAGCCAATAGGCCAGCTAAATGCAACTGATTAAGTTCACTCAATGGACTCTAATAATCATTTTTTTTTCTTTCAACAAAACACCCGAGTTTTTGTAAAAACAATGTTTTCTTATTATTTAACCTCAACAAACAAGGAGACACCGGAGTAATAAGTTTAGATTGTCATTATACGTCATTAACTCAATTTTTATTTTACTTTATTTGATTTTTTTTTGAAGGAGGTTTAAAATACGGAGTGGATATATTCTCCTCCCTTGTATATATAATAAAAAATAATAATAAATAAATAAAAGGAAAAAAAATTATATAAAGTTATATTTAAGGATACCGTTYCATTATGGCCGAATTGCCGTTTAAAATCGAGTACAGTGTAAGTATCTTATTTGTTGATAATTTTTATTTCGAGTTTCTATTTTAATTTATCAGAATTTATTCAGCGTTTTATTTGTTTGGAAGTGTACGTCTTTATCGAATTTATTTCATTTCATTTTTTTCTCATCACACTTTCTTTTCGTCACGAACAGACAATAGAGAAAAACTTGTCAAGACCAAGTAGTCCAATGTTTGCCCGAAACAATGAAACATGAGCGAAAGGAAAAAACACAAGTCAGATATAAATTCATTTCACTGCAATTATCTGCACAAATTTCCGGTCCTAGATTTCATCCCATAAATGAATAAATCAATTTCTGTTGAAATGAACCGACTTCGTCGCCAATTACATTCTGGAAACCGCTTAGTGAGACTGGCAGTGAATGAAGTTTTTTTACGAGATTATGAGATTGAAAGATGACGTGTCTGTCAAACTAAGATGTTACCAATTCATGGTTGTAATTGCTATCAAAGCTCATCAAAATCCCGTCCGTAAGTTGAAAATCAACCAATAGGAATAAGTGATAACTTAATATGTATACCAACTAAGAAACCTACAGTTTTCTAGGTAAGATTCTAAACTTTATATTACCTGTTATCGATAATACTCCTTCTAATTCAGTTCTAGTGTCATGCGGGTTGTCTTTCTCGCTCTATAAACAAAGGTTTCCCCTCCTCCTTTACTTACTGCCTTGTTCCTCTAGATAGGCGTGAGGACCAAGTTGTATTTGTGGGCGGGAAGTTCGGATGGATGATGGGTAGTTGTTCAAATTACAAGACAAAAGCTAAACCCAGAGTAAATTGTCAAGACTATAAATGGGATTATGGGTGTAATTGGGTTTCTCTTAACGAGATGAATCTATCATACTTGCGCAAAGAGCTATTTGTGCGAATCATTTTAATAGATCGTTTCATTGTGGTTTTGTATGAAAAGTGTTCGCGCTGGCTATCACTTTAATTAACAGCCATGTCTCCTAAAGTGACAGCTCTTTATCACTCTAAATAAATTCTCTTCAAACACTGGCTAATGACATGTGTTCAATGTCAACTGGTGCGACTGGAGCATGACAAGTCGAAGTCATAGTCACTGCCTTCCCACACATTCCTAGCTCCGCGCCGAGTGTAGTGTGTACATTTTCAACCGGGGCAGCCATATTTGAGCCACGGAGTGTGAGCTCCACCGTGATATGTCTTCATTTTCTGTCAGAAATATTCTGAATCTAAAAGAACCACGAATGCAAGCCAACAATTCCTCCAACGCATTGAACCTTAGTGTTTACCAAACGGATAATGTCAGCTTTGAGCCACGGTCCAAGGCAGACATGGGGCTACATTTAGTTCAGAAATCCCAGGATTCCAGTAAGTGTTTTGAAATGAAAATACAATGCTTGACCGAGGAGTAAAAATGCTTTCTGGTCGGCTCAATTCAAAGCTATGGGCTGTTCATTTTACATACATGTTGTGGTTAATGTCATTAATTCAGGTTTATGGCTTAACGTTTTTCGTGATTTCTTTGCAACACATTGTAARATTTTACAACTTTGTTCACCTTTGGAATCTGATTTTTGGTTCATGCTGTTTTTTCCCCGATAGGAATATTACTTCTTTACAGTACCGTTGTTTCCAAAATTTATTTGAAGGACTTGTACTTTAGGGGATGTTTATTAGATCGAGTCGAGCCGGATTACACTTTCTTAACGATAGTGCGAATTTGTACCTCAATGAAGATCGTGTAATCCTTAACAAATCTCGCTAGGGAAACCTAGGATGTGAGGAAAAACCACGACCGTTTCTTTACTTTGGTTAAACTTTTATTGCAATCAAAAAATAGAGATAGGATTCAGAGCTCCATTTGATTAAACACAATTATTTTTATCGCCTATAACACAATGATATGGCCCCTGTCACCTCTCTGGGGTTTCTAATCGCATTTTCTCGTAACAGCTTCTCAGGCTCATCCTGAACGTCTCAAAGACAGATCAGGAGAACTCATGAATTCACCAGGAGAAAAGGATGACAGCCAAGAAGTGCCAAAGAAGCGCAAGCGACGAATTCTCTTCACTAAAGCACAAATTTACGAGCTTGAAAGGCGGTTTCGTTATCAACGATACCTCTCTGCTCCAGAGCGCGAGCAGCTTGGMCGAATGATCAACCTCACTCCYACTCAAGTTAAAATCTGGTTTCAAAACCATCGCTACAAGCACAAAAAGCTTGCTACTGAGTGTGGAGAGTACAAAGAGCCAAGTCGGTCCATCTTTCCCAGGACTGTACCCGTTCCTGTGTTGATACGCGATGGTCAACCTTTCCATGGTGAGTACAACAGTAGCCAGACGTTCTACAACCAATGCAGCTCAGCAACGCCAAGCTACGGAGACTACAATGGATACACGAACAACATGGGATATGCCAATACACTTCAGCCGAATCAGAACACCAATGCTTATCCGCATTTATCAACAAGTTCGTCCTGCATGCAGGCTTATTCTCCTTATTGTAAGACATGGTAAGACAATCATGGAGAACTGTATATATACAACAATAACTACACTCACACATCTCTTGGAGAACTACTCTTGCTTTCTAATCGATTCTTGAACGATATTTGATGTAGGAGAACAAAGGCGATAGAGACAACGAATAGGCAATAAAGATGCTCTGAGCTGTCGAGGTAGATATCAAAGACATTAACAGCGTGCCTTGTAGTGGTAGGCGGGGTAGTTTTGAAAGGGAACCCTAGTGAATTTCTTTTATTTCTATTAAGATCCAAGCGAAAGAGATACCCTCTTTTGCGGTTGTGACTATTTCATTTGATCTGTCTTTAGAGCCGGTACATTCAACCACTTTTTTCTGTCACTTCAGCTGCATTTTCTTAACATTACAATTAAGATGACAAACTTTAACATAAGATTTTTTTTAGTTCCAATTCTCAATACAAACTTCTCGACTTCTCTATTGRTATAATAATAGAGCTTTTGACTTTGGCTTGTAGGTCGTGTTTTAATTTTCCTGTACTTATCTCTCGAAGGATACATATGCACGCGAACCCTATTAAGGRAAAAAATCATGTAATCGTATTGAATGTGTAAGTTTTAAGCCTTACGAGATTCCTAACGTAAGAGCACCCAATCATCTCAAGCACTATTAGGCAACTTGCAAAGAAACAGTTCTTTTTTAAGATCTCGTGTTCAGAAAAAATGTGCATGAAGCATATTTCTTTTAAATTTGGATATTTCCCTTTTAAAAGTTTTATGAAGGGAATAGAAGATGTCGGGAGGATGTCAGATCAGAGACTTTCGGATGACCAAAAGAATTGTATTGGCTTTACCTCTGCAAGCAAAAGTCAGTGAAAATTTTGACCACGTTTATCGCTGAAAACGAAAATGCATTAAATTTTGAAGTTAAATCCAAATGGCTCATTTCTTTATGATTAATTCTGTTCAACCAGAAAATAACCTACAACTTTCCTTATTCAACACAAAACTTGTCTTAACATGGTTTAGTCAAAAACATTGAATTGTCTCCGGTTGGGAAAAAAACTATCAAAGAAAAAAAGGTAAAAAACATCAACAAAGATAACTCGTGACCCAAACAAGTGAAGTCAAAACTCCGTAATTATCAGAGGTATCAGCTTTTTCTTTCTATAAAAAAACCCAACCACTTCCCGCCTTTATAGGCAGTTTTTACCGCAAATGCAACCACCAAGCCACTATCAGTAAGATTACTATATTCCATTCAGGTTGACCTGTGTGTTGTCTTTTTRAGATTTACTATCCTGTCATGTCCAAGTCTCAGTTATTTTGGTTTTCAGTGATATTCTTTATAAAACTGATGAATTATTTAGCTTTTGCTGTTTATTCTTTTAGGTTTTGAAAACCAAGTTTCTCAAAATGATACCTGCATGTTTGATGAGACTTACAGAACTGTTGCATATCAATACATCCTATAACAACAACAACAACAAAATTTCCCTTCAAGTTAGATATATTTTTACGATTGACCACATCCGACAGCAAATTTTTCATTGATCTTCTAAATGGGTTTTTTTTGGTCCATTCAAAAAAGAGAAAAAGTTTTTCCTGGTTCTTGGATTCTGAAACAATGAGAAACAATGATACATGCACAGTGTCATCCACTTAGTTTATGTAATGATAATTTTTCTATGACACCTAAAAGTGTTTTCCATCAGTTTTACTGACTGCTTTGGTTTGGAAAACAGTTTTAGTTGTTAGATTTCCTCAGGATTTTGTCTCCTGTTTAAATCGAGCCTTTGAACTTAAAAAGAAACATAAAGCTACAGCAGCACTACTTCAAGTATGAGCAATATCACCTCCAATGAAACAAGAGTAGGAAAAGATAGAATTATTCTAATTATCGAAGTTTTTAGAATGGAAAAAGGGTTGTAGAGTCATAGAAATACGTTTAATTAGTTTACGAAAGATGATGGTTCTTGTAGTGTAAGGTAGTGTAGTGAGCCAGAGAAAATTTGGTAGGTGAATTAGTAAACAAAAAGCGATGCTAAACTACAACCCTAAATTCTTTTGTTTCAATTAATATATACATTGGTTTAAAATATTTATTGTAGATGGTTTCTTTCTTGTGTAATATATCTTTAAAGTTTCTCTTAACCAAGGTTTTGGTTATCGTTCATGATTAGTGTATCATAGGTTCCATATACTCGTTTCGTGTACTGTCCATAACAATTAACATAGCATAGCCATGAATGTATGTTCGTGAACGCTTACTACTGAAAATCAATCAATTTTGAAAGCTAGAAAAATAGGTCATGTTCTAAATAAATTATTAAGGGAATGTCATGTTTTTCAATCAAGAAATGATGTTGATTTTGATCTGACTATGGTAAATAATTCAATTGTCAAGTTCCTACTGGTATTTCCTGTGGCCTAACAAAACCCCCGAAATAAAATTGCTTGTAAAACCAAAGTGTTGTAAATAAATATCGTCTCAGTGAATAAGACCTTAAGCGTGTTTTTCTTTGCTTTTATTCCATGGAGCTGAACAGATATGGTTTAATGAAATACGTATTGCTAGAGGTGAGTTAGTAAGTTTTTTAAAGTGCATAAGTCAAAGTGCCATTCGTTGCATTCGTTGAAGCTGAGCACTAAATTCACTATTTATGTCTGTCAAAACGAAAACACCATGATTTGGACGTTTTTATTTTTAAAAAACTACCCAATGAAAGGCAGAACCTGGAATCTTACTTTAAGACCCTTTTCTTTGAAGCGTAATTCTTGAGCGCGTAAAAGAGTGCACGCGTATATACGAGATATCATCAACGAAGGATTTGAATAGGGTCTTATGGATACTTCAAAGAGCTAATCAGCCTTAGAGCGGCCTTAGTTTAATTAATCACACAATTACTTTATTTACCTTTGAAAAGGTTCTTATTTGAAATCAAAACCATTCCCATTTCTTGCTTAAACTTTTGCTCACAATAAATTGTGAAAACTACGTTTTCCATGATTTAAGTCATCGTTTCATGATCTCATCCAACAAAGATGAGCTCTTGTCTAGTTGATGAGCACAGACTTTTTGTTATTTGTCGGCTTCTTTTCAAGCAAACTAAGCTTGAAAAACGACAACAACAAAAGCACTACCTTAGAGGACAGTATCGTTATGAAGTCTAATTTTTAACAAGTTTTCACACTGAAAACGTAGGGGTTACATCTTAGTGAGATCAAAGCAGTATTTTGGCACCAACAGCCAATCAATCGGAGTTCAATGTCTGGTGCGCTTTAATCCTTTTATATCGGTCAAGGCTTTCAATAAGATTATTCTTTTCAAAGTTTTAAGCAATAAGATTTTGACTTCTCGAAAGATTTTTACACGCGAACCATGTAATAATAAAATCGTGCAAGAGGCACAAAAGAGAACCGTTCTTACCACGTTCTTAGCTGTTGCAGGCATTGATACAAATGTGAAGTCTTCCTATTACTGCAAAAAGTGCACTCCACTTTAAAGAACAGTGGCTATACTAAATTTAATACACTGAATGTTGAAGAAAAACAATTCAGCTTGGTTTATTTTTTCAATTTCCCTCTTAACGAAATATTTTACCACGACGCGAGAATTACGAGAATCTTTCTCGTTGCCAAAGGCCTCTCACCTTTTCTACCGCAACAGTCCTGCCATACTTATCTAGTTATTGATTATCATATTTTACATTAACTCATCTTTTAAATTAGGGGTTACCAAAAGATTTTATAATGAACAGGTCGTAAAAAAAGCAAAAAAAAAAAACAAAACAAAACAAAACAAAACAAAAACAAAACAAAAAAACAAAAAAAACAACAACAACAACGCAGGCCAGTACAACTACTCGCCCTTCACGAAACTTTCAATAATTGATGAAGCAAGTTCTTAGCTCTTTTCCAATTCGTATTCTAAGCTCGTGTATTTATGTTGAATTCGACTACAATTTGATGTTTTATTTATGGATGTACGGATAAGTATTATTCTCGTTTTTGGAAAAGTTTTAACAGAAAGAATATAATGATTTTTGCATGTATGCAAGAAGAACCTCACAGCCGAGGAACACACAAAAAACATGAAAAATGTTGATTGAACGTGATTAATCTTCTTTTGCGGGTAGAGGTATTGTCAAGAATTCTGCACCGTGTTGAAAAAAATCTCCTGTAATCAACGATTGCCTTATATACTAGGGCTATTTAGAGCAGACTACAACTGATATGGTTTGACGAAGAATGAGATAGCTAGAGGGATTAAGGAGACTGACTGTCATTTTTGAACTGAACTTGTTTATCTTACACAGGCAAAACTAACCAACAKTTTTCCTACGTTATGCTCTTTTTTACGTACAAATAAACTTGATACAAATGCCAAAAATGCTACGATCTTTATTATATCTTTGTTTTGGACGCAAGTTTTCTAGCTTCAGGTAATTTCCTAGCTTGTCGTTTTGGTAGGTCTGGCTAATATCATTAGCAAAAGAGTCAAGAACCTGTAGAATTAATCGCACTTAAAATTGGACGATGGCCGGCAATGTTTCATGCAATTGAATAATCTAATTGTAAACTTGCAACAAAATAAAAAGACTAGTGAAATCCTCATTGAAAAGAAAAACCTGAATACACTCGAAAAAATATTCAGTATTGAATCTGAGATTTTCAAACTCTTGTAGTATTTAAGTCTTGGGTATTTTGTTTGAAGCCCTGCTGGTACGTTCTCTCAGTGCTGTCTCGGGTACCTCACGCAGAATGAAGAGATTCTGAGTTTATTATTATTCTACTAAACATCACTTCACAATAATTGGGATGCATAACACAAGCCTTAATAGGATCAGTTATACTTTAAGTAGCTCCTATTTTCAGCTCAAAAGGCGAGTTTTCTATTGATTTTAGATTATGGTTTTAGAATTGGCACAAGAGGGATTAGAGAAAAGCCTTATGTTCGGGAGTACTCTGTAATTTGTCCTCATTCTTTTAAGTCAACTAAAAATTGCATTGTCATGTAGTAAGTAAACTATTTTTTTAGTGTTTTACCAGATTTCAATACAGATGTCAAACCACTATAGAAAAGTGTGAAGTTGGGACCATCAGAGTATTTTCACCACAATATCAACTTTGGTAAACCAGGGGTAAACACACCAAAAAAAGAGACAGAAGTTGGGTGTTTGGAACCGTGTTTTTGTATTTTGATAAAGCTTAACCTTTTGTTCATTTAAGAGCAATCATAAAAAACAACCAAGCCGCTTTAATCTGACGTCTCATCCTTTTCTCTAAGCTGTATTCAAATGATTTGGAGCAAGCATTAACTTAATCCCCTTAATCCATACCGCAAACAGTCGTAAAATACACCGGGTTTTTTTTCCACTGCGATTAGCAAAATCAAGAGATTGAGGATATTAAAAGCTCTTTTCGGTCTTCAGTTGCTTACAAGAGGCCACTAATTGTAGCCGGCCCTATGAAATACGTCCAGATCATTTGTGCACTGAACCACTTGACTTCCCGAAACATGCGGCAAAAGCAAGAAATGTTCCATATCAGGAACCGATCTAGCTCATTAATAAGTTTCCGGTTGAGAATAGAAATTATTAACATGGAATGTGCAGAGGCAAACTGTTATCGCGTATCAAACCTAAGTGCTTTAAGTACGTTTTCGAACTAACATCGACGAACAAGTGTTGGCCCTAATGTTCCCAATTTCCGCCTGAAGTTGTACACTAATGTTTTGATGCTGAGTAGACACAGCCTGGCCACCAATGCAGCCGTTAGTGACCATAGGTTTTTTTCGTTGTTGACCCCTCCCTTTCAAAACATATATGTAAAAAATGTAAACACGATTTGTAAAATGGAAAAGGTTAGATGGGTGATGGGGAAAAAGGCTTGGGAAGTCAAGATTTCTGGCACCTCAGTTCATTGTTCCTGCATAGTTAGAATTACGTTCATTCGAGACAATATTTACAAGAGAGAGTGTTTAAATGTATTCAATTAGCAAAGACAATGAAAACTGAGAATTCTTGAAGTGGCAGGAAGCTTGAAGCGAACCAAAAATACACTACTTTTTGAACGATAAGACTTTTATAGACTTCCAAAGTATTAATCTTCTGGATTCATGTTTAATCCAAACAGATTGGCTCCAATGAACCATTTTGAATCAAGAGACAACAAGAACAGCCAAACGGAACAACTGTTGCCGGTCGGTACTCTGTCGCTAAATTACTTTGTCACAAATCAGAAGAAACGGAACATCACCGAAGATACAAAATGGATAAATGATAACTGAATCAGTGAATTTAGACACTGTTATCGTTTAGGAAAATCACTTCGTTACCTAGCTCACTGGTCAAACCTCGAATTATTCAACACACAGTTTTGACGGGACTTAAGACTGAAAAGATAATGATTATTTAAAAATGAGCAATTTTGAAATTTTGTTCTACAGCATCAGTAGAAAGAAGCTAAAGAACTTCGTTGGTAAAAAGAAAAGATTAGTCAGTATATCAAAGGCCTGTATCCGATATGGATCAGATGTTGGTAGTGAATTAAGCTTTTTATTTTGCAGAGTATAGGCCAATATCTGAGACACTGTGATAGTCTTGTCACCGAWTTTTTGCTATTCCAGAAAATCTCCACACGATATCTATCCCAATGTCATCCAACTGTCCCTTATTTTTAGGCCTTCGTAAAACATTAATGCAATATCGCCGCTCACGGTACCCGGCATATCTGAGCTCAGCTTTCACGATTTAGGAATTAACTGATCTAGTAATGCCTTAGTATTGCGATCTGACTGTCCGGAAAGTTTGGTCTTAGTAAGGAAGTTTACATTAATTGAAATGGAAAAAAGGTCAAAAAGCTGATAGAAAAAAAAAAAAAAGAAAAAAAAAGAAGGAAAAAGAAAAAGAAAAAGAAAAAAACAAAAACACAGATGGATTTGATAATTTTTTGATATTCAAATTAATGTTTACTTTTTAAAAATTTAAAAGAAATTATTTTCCTCGAAAAAGGAAAGAAATTAAAGTGTGTGTTGTATGGTGCATTTTCGTTTGGTATTTTCCGCAATTTATAAACGACCAAGATCGCGCAAGTGTGTCAAGATGGGTGCCGGTTGCTAGTATGACACGGGTGTCAAGAATGAGACGGTTTTAGACCTTAAAGTCCCCTAAATACGGTAAGCCCTTACCTAGGCTAGTGTCACGAAACAAGTGCGATTATAGCGGAGTCGAAGTAAGAAACTATTTTTAATCAACAAGAAGGTCAGGTGAACGCACTTATGGAGTTCAAGACGGTAGGTTAGATCAGTCGAGGACCATCAGCCTTAGCAGCCGGCATTAAGTAAAACGGATGCCTATCAACTAATCCAGGGAGTTTGGATTATCACATACGATGTCCAAGCATATGGGTCTTCAGTTCGAACCATTTGTTCGAATCAAATAGAAATCATGTTTCTTTAAGTGATCCAAATGTTTTATCGTTCGAGTCCCGTTATCAAAAGATTAAAATAAGGCTGGTCAATTTGAGGAATTAAGCTTATCCAACCTCAAGAGTTTAGTTAAAAGCATGTTTTTCTTCCGCTAAGATTCATCTTCGGCCGATCTATACTGGTTTAAGTGGCGTTCTTACGGTGGAATATTGACCGTAGTCCATAATCTGTATCAACAATTGGGGAGCATATTATATGCGTGGTTATACGCTAAGACGCACTCAGCGCGCAATTCCACTCTCATTCTATAAGTCCAACCACTATGAAAAAAGTTACTTTAGATTACGGTATTACTGATTCCAAGGGTATATGATTCCAATTAAGAATATATTAAAAAGGCGTCGACGCCCTATCCATGCAATTGCAACACTAAAAACCGCTTTATACTTAGAAAACTTTTAGCCGCAATCATTCGTAGATCACGGAAAATGACTTTCCTTGGTGATCCGTTAATCCTTCTTATCTGCATCAAATACGGTAAAGGGATAAAACCTTTATCAAAAAAGTTTTTTTCCTAAAATATCATTATGACATCATTGCATCTTTCTCAGTGGACCGAATGATCACAAAAAGCTTTCAAACGGACGCTTTTAAAACCCAAAATAAACCATTGATTCCTTAGAGGAGATTTAAAAGCAATCTGAAGATTGACTGCGTGTACTCTTAGAGTTTTATTCTTCAAAAGCAATTGCTTAAATAGAACCCTTTTAGATTTTATGACGCCCATTGAAGTAGGTTGATTGTACGCGTACCAGGAAATGCATTGAGTGAAAGCCAGATAAACTCCACAGCAGTAAAAATATTGGCACTAGGCAAAATGTTTTGTTTTCAGTTGTAAGAAGGTTTGGCTGACAGCGCACGCTATACTAGTATTTAATATATTCATTTATTTAAGGTTTGAGTGTTAACAAAAACGTCAATGATACTTGGATCGTATTCTTATATTCTGTTTACTGTGGCTCTATTTCTTTTCTGTTATTTACTTCTTTTCAGTTACAAAACTCTTTGTTCCAAAAACAAAGATACCCGCGTTATTTTAAAAATGCATGGCGCAGTTATAAGTGTAATTCTGATCAATGCAATTTTTAAATATTTGTTTTAAAAATTTTGGGTACTCCGAAACAGAAATCACTTGTCTACTAAGTTTGGCGCGCTTTTCCCCCCTCACTTTATTTACTCTGTTCATTTACTTATTCACTGGAGCTCCAACAGATCAGCGAGGTGGATGAACACTATATGTCCAGTTGCAATAATCTATCCAAATGAGGACAACAATGCTCGGCTATAACTTTGAAAAAATACGCTTGTGTCTCCTTGCAAATATAGGTTTGAAAGGGAAATTTTGGACAAAGTGTTTTTAGTTTCTTCGTTTTCCGCTCATACTTTCAAAGGGTGGGATAAACTGAAGACGGACAATCAGTATATTCCTACAAAGTATCTTCGTTTTTGTGTCTGCGGCGTGATAGGGCGTACCATAGGGCGCAGTATGAGTGCGAGAGAAGAACAAGGCCAATACTACAGTTTCGACTTCTCTGTTGCTAAAGGTTAATAGCCTCACTTTTGTGCAGAATAATGAATATTTAGACACTGATTCGAGGCTAACGTAACCCTAAGTAAAGTAAACATGTCTGCAATCAAGCAACACAGTAGTAATTTGGAAATCAAAAATGGTCTAAATGCTCTAAGCTTGGGATTTTTTTGGCCACAGTTAAATGACTAAACTATTCTTTTTCAATATTCTAACATTCCTTTTTCTGATACCATCGTCACCATTATTACAATGTCACCTTTTATATATCGTCGTTCCTATTGTTATTGCTCTTGTCCTGTTGCTAGTGCTAACATTGCTATTGCCGTTGCTATGTCGTCGCTAGCCTTGTCATTTCCAATATATCACTGCCATTGCTAGCCATTTCCATCTAATGTTTCTGATTGGGTGATACCATAGCTATGGGCATTGCTATTTGTCATTGCTAGCACATTTCTATGACAATACCATAACCATCACTATTACTATTACCATTACCATTGCTTTTGCAATGGTATAATGGTAATAACTACTGTTATCCACTGCCATTACCACTGCATTATAATTATAGCCATTGCTTTATTCCAATAGCCAAGTCAATGCCATGATTGTTACAGTCATTGTCGTCGTTAATTTATGTCCTGGATAGGAAGTTTTAGAACGCTGAAGGGGGCATGATTTCTGTTCGGGTACGATAAACAAATGCCTGATTCAGTTTTGATCAGAAGAATTTATTAATTACAATGCACGCGTGATTCATGATTACACATGGGCTATTTAGAGTCAAAATCACCTGTCATTGGGGTATCTACATATCAATTTATCCATTTTACCATTTATATTTCCAGTTGGTAAAACACATTCAGCTAAAGTTTGCGTAATTGTGTGCGTATAAGCAACAATGTTAATAACAGTATCACATATTAGATTAAATGTCTTATACGACATAATTATTAGTTTTATCATTGCTCACACGTGCGTTTTTGATTTTGATTTTTAATTATTAAACTATTCTTGTGCTGTTTTTACTTCTTCATCAGTTTGAACTGAACTTCAAATTAAAGGCAAGGAAAAACTCGAAGATCATTTATTTTTGGCTATATTAATAGGCTTTATTTCCAGAGGGTAAACACATAACAGTAGTTAAAAACACTGATAACTCTGTGCCCCTAAAGTCTAAAAATAGATAGATGAAATAATATAACTAATGATAAAAATTATGTACACCTATTTGCAAGAACGCTGCCATACATATATTTCGTTTTATTAACAAATCACTCACTTCTTAAACTATTCTTGTGCTGTTTTTACTGCTTCATTAGTTTGAAACTTCAAATTAAAATTGATTAATGCTTATTAAAAAGGCAAGAAAAAAACTCGAAGATCATTTATTTTTGGCTATATTTCGTTTTATTAACAAATCACTCACTTATTAAACTATTCTTGTGCTGTTTTTACTGCTTTATTAGTTTGAAACTTCAAATTAAAATTGATTAATGCCTAAAAAAGGCAAGGAAAAACTCGAAGATCATTTCTTTATTTTTGGCTATGTTTCGTTTTATTAACAAATCACTCGATCAAAGTGTCACTTGTCGTTATGAAACCATGGTTTAATAGCCACTGAATTCAGACATAATTGGGTTTGTTTTTGTTCTGATTAAATCAAAACTGAAGATGAGTCGTTATGGCGCCTCAGTCCTCTAAATGTCATCAGTTCTTTGCTCGTAATTGGTTTTTATTGACCCCGTCCATTACATTGATTGACTTGCATGTCTACTTATAGATGATAATGGTGCCAACCTGAATATTTGACATAAGAGATACTTGGTTGCAGGTTGTTTTTGACTACCAGAAGAGTAACATTGAGTTTTGTGACATCACATTATAACCTACGTTGATGGCTAACAATTTTTTTCGTGTAATTCTTTATCACACTGTATCGAGAGTACATCATCCTGCCAAGTTTGACGAACTGAAAGTTTCGGATTTGAATTCAATTATTTTCCCCATTTCTCTCCAAATGTTGGTGTTTACAAATATATTTACCGTCAAAAAGCTGAAGAAAGCCGGGGAAGAGTACTTTGGTTTCCTTTGGCCTTGATTTGAGAATCACAAAATAGAAAGCTCACACTATCAAGTTACATCATTGAAAGAAGGAAACGGAAAGAAGCACCAACCGCAGGCGAGAGAGAAAGTGGAAAGTACTTGACAATTCCATCGAGAACTGTAAGTACAGCTTTTCAATTTGTTAAAAGCCACACTGTTTACTCTCTCGTCTCTTTCTTTTCTATCGTACCCTAACGGTGAGTCCCAACAGACTCTGATCTTTATCTGTCACTTCAGATATTGTTTTCATGTACTGATACACTTTTCAAGAAACCGGAAGCTTTGGCTCCAAAAATACAAAGTTGCCAACACTCAGACGTCCGTCTACTACTTGTTTAAATGCCCTCTCAACACAAGAAGGTTAAATAAATGTAACTTCACTTGACTCGTTTGCTAGATTACACGTTTGCGCATGTCACTTGTGAAAACCAATATATTAACTATTCCTCTGAGCGCAAAGATTAAGTTAACAAGGTAATCATTGATGAGCACATTCACTTGCTGAAGCAAGAACGTCGCARATTTGAGTGGCTAGCTAGTCTTTTCCTTTCGTTCGAGTGATTGGCACAATTACGATTCTCTCTTTTCATGAACAGGCAGACTAAATGACAGATCATCTTTCTTCCTTCCGTTGTGTCAAACTAAAGAACGTCTACGTAGCCATTATTCTTATCCTTTTATTCCTTATTTGTTATATATGTTATTCGTAATTTTAGCAAATGAAAAGCCTTTTTTGCTTATTCGAATTGTTCTAAGAAGGTACACAGTTGTTCTAAAGTTATTTGAATTTTCATATCCTCTCGGGTAACCCAACTGAAACAAAAGTAATGACTTTGTTGTAATTATGTCATCTAATGGCTGTACAAACAGAAACCGCCTCTCTTACTTTCCAATCTATAAATCGTCCCAAACTGAAGCTCAGCTGTGTTTCATTTTTAGCGGGAAAGGTTTTGGTGTTTGACTGAGATTTCCTTGCACTAATCTAAGTGATCATTACGAGGCGTGATACAATTATAAAATTTGAACAAGGGGGCGGGAAACGGTTGTGCGAATTAGCCCCAAAAACTGCGAAAAACGCGTGTTTATTTACTTAAAAAGCCAGCGCTGACAGATCACTTGATAAAAATAAGTCTGTCAAACTTGTAAGCTTGCCCTGACAGCCATGAGGTTCTATAATTAGTATTCCGCAACAGCTTTCAGTTGCTTGAACATTTCAGGAAACTCTGCCAGGTTGAGTTGCTTACGAAGCTCGAAGGCTTTAGCTTTGCATTTTTGATAATCCTTGTTGACAAGCCGATGTGTCAAGTCTTTATCYGGATAGCTAGCAAATACTTCAATTGAAGTCTTTGGACATGTGTCGAACGTCAATCTAAGGTAAATAGCATCGCACTCACTAACGCCCTCGACATGTGTCTAGTATAACCCTGGCTGTCAAGACTTTAACACTGACCAGATAATGAAGTCTATTTGAAACCATTTACTCGACAGCTAGCCAAGAGAGATGAATTCTTTTTCAATAAAAGACATTCTCCATGATAAGAGAGACACACAGGATGGGTTATCGATCATGGACCAGACCTCCAGACCAAGCGAAAGGGAATATTCAGTGAAGATGGATAGCGCGTTCCAAGCATTCGTGAATCAAACTACAGATAATTCCATTCACGAATTCAACAGTAAGTTGTTTTATTTTGTAAAAGTATTTGTTAACTACACTTTGAAGCAACAGCACTCATTATCTTTATCTCCTTTTGAAATCGGAAGCCGTTTTTTAACTGCGCAGGAAAAGCTTAGGTCAAGATTACTTGAGTTGTTCTTCAACGCTTCAGTTTTGAAATCGCTTTCGAAATCGGTTCAAGTACTGATCATCGAAAACACGACCAAAAGAGGCGCGCAGTCGACTCGGTAATCAAAAGCAAATGGGCAAAACTAGCGCAAGGTACATTCAGCAATACCAGCCTTCATTTACGAAGACTAAAGCTCGTAAAATTGGAGTGCTCTAAACAGTAGTGCGTGTCGTATGCCTTTCTTCGTGATTATCTGTCTCCTTGAGTCAAGGACCAGAATGGAATAAAACCAGAGTTCTTTCTTGTTTGTAGAATTTAACAGCAATGGTATAGATAATGGAAGCGAGAAAGGCATCAAACCGTCAAAGAACTCGGCAGAATCTCACGTGAGCAAGAAGAAGAGAAGAGTGCTTTTCTCCAAGGCTCAGATCTACGAGTTAGAACGACGATTTCGTCAGCAGCGCTATCTCACAGCCGCTGAAAGGGAACAGCTTGCCAGAGTGATCAGTCTGACGCCAACACAAGTCAAGATTTGGTTCCAAAATCACCGCTACAAACAAAAAAAGCAAGTTTCGGAAAAAGAACAAATGAATAATGATGTTACTGTGATGTGTGGACCCAGAACAGTCAACGTACCAGTACTAGTCAGAGACGGACGACCATGTTATGATTACAATATGAATCAACGCTACGACTTTGACACGGAGTTCATACCAAATCCATATTCCTCAATGAATTACCCTCCAAGTAACCCGTACCAATACTGGAGTCCATTCTAGCGAAATTGGTTACTTATGGAGCGGTTAGTTTTTTATCCTGATTCTTTTCAGCGTGCCGTGGGCTTAAGGCAAGATTGTTACTGTATTAAGAGACTTTGTCGGACATTGACGAACGAACAATAGCAGATGAGTAATCATGCCTTGGTAATGGACTAGGGTTAATGTGGTTTTAAGGAAGGTGAAAATTGATTTTAAATAATAGGCTGTTGTTTTATCATTTTAATTGTAGGTGACTATTACAATAATTGAAGATTATTACTCCTATATTTCTTCCCTGAGGCAAAATGGTTCATACCTATATCAAAGCTGTATTAAAGAGGAAAGTTCGAATTTTAGCTAATGTGGAATTTAATGAAGACTTATTTCTCTAAATTACCTTTATATTAATGAATCGGTATAACAGTTTGTACTAAATCTTTTCGCTTGGGCCTCCATGTGTGAGAGAGTTTGCCATTAGCGACTAAGGAGAAAGTTAGAGTTAACTAGGAATGTTACTATACTGAAGTTCGGACGAAGTTCAGGTTAATGTTGTAATATACAAGTGCAGAAGTAAGATTAGCCCTCAATGGAGATTTAACATTAGCACTGAATGAAGTGTTTGCTTTAGTGATCCCATTGAAGTACCTCATGCGACTCGATATGATTACATTGCCGTTAAGATCAGTTCTAACTAAACACACGCGGGAGAAAGATCTTAAATCATTTGGTATGCCCAAGTGTTCAATTGTTATTGAATATATAGTAACCACTTTGTCTTTAGTGTCCAAGAATTGAGATGAATAGTGAGACAAACTTCAAGACACGAACTCAAACGTCAAGAGATTTGGTCTGACTGTACATCTTTGACTCGTTTGAAAAATCCTGATAAACTTATTAAGAAATATAAAATTAGGATACTCAATTATTTTCCTTGGTGAACCATTTACATGTGTTATCCATGTTAAACTAGTTTGTGACTGTTTATTGTCCATCGTAACAACGAGAAGATAATGGCAGCGTACGTGGCAATATATAACTCCTGACCAAGAACTTGCAAAATAAAATATGGCTTTTGTCCATAATTACGTAACTAATTTTGCAGTAATTTACACGAATCGAAAAACAATGATACCTTTCTCAATGTTATAGAAGATTATATTTTGAACATTTTGAAAATAAAAGTGATCAAAGAATATGCACCGAAATAATTTTGTTGGCAAACCCCATTGTTTTTGAACCTATTTGGCCAAGTATCAGAAAACAACCCCAAAACATGATTTGTGCTTTCTTAATCAAGTAAAATCTTTCTATAATTCGTAATGCAGTCCAAAACTTTACATGTTTCGATCAAACTATTCCGGATAATCCAGCTTTTTAAGCCTGCAAGTATACTCAATTAACTAATTTCATAAGGTAATAGAAGTGAGTGGGTAATTCCTGTGATGCTCTTGGAAGAGGTTTGTGTACGTGCTCACACTTTCTAACAAAAATTTTGAAAGCTGCTTTGGTTTTTATTGAATGTTTAGTGAGATGACAGCAAAATGTTTAATGACATTTTATCTTGTGGAATTGTAAATCAGCTGCTTTAAACATTTCTTCGAAGTCAGGTCTGTTTGCTAATCCAGTTGTCGCTTAATCATGTACTCAGAAAGTCAGTAAAACAGCCGAGGATATTTTAGGAGTAATTTGATTAAAAAGAGCCCAATAAGTTTTTTTATTTATTTATAGGATTCAAAGGTGGACGTATGAAAAACCTGGTTTTCTAGGCAACGTAAATACGTTTTTGATGTTGACGTCTAGGTTTTTGAATGAACACTGCATAAGCTGTTAAAACGGAAGAGCTAATCCACAAACCACGTTTACAAACAAAACGACTTCTCATCTCCAAGTCAAGTTGTACTATAGTAGGAGATTTAACGTGCTTGAGTTTGAAGAGAATTTCAATAGAAGTCCTTGTGAAAGTGCTAATGATGACGGTGTGTTTCATATGGGAGGAGTTCGAAGCTACTTCAATAAACCTTTAATATTGTAAAGCTTGTTGAATGGAGCTCTCGTGTATGTACAGCTTGAAGGAATCTGAAGATGACAATGACAAGGCTGTTTAATTCAGATGGTTATTGTCGACTTGAGTTCCGTTTCTTGTTGAGATGCCATGGAAAAGTAAACTAGTTTTTGAAGAGCGAGAATCATGGCAGATAAAAGCAGACCTAATCCACCGCTCATGGGTTATTGGGCTGTTAGCAATGATTCAACTTGCTGATAGCTAGGGCGCAGGAAGTAAACGAAAAAAAAAGTAATTGTAAGCTCGAAACAAAAGCAATAACTCCAGCACAAGTAGTCATTTTGGACAATAACTTTCTTTATCATTGAAGCTAGTCTAACTCAGTTTTCTGTTGATTGAGCTTCTGTTTACTGTTGTTTTATGCTCAACTCGAAATTTTTTTTTTGTCTGAGCTAGGGAAAACAGCAATAAAGTCTTTATATATATATGTATAAAGAGCTATTTTGGTTTTTAAAATAGTAAGTATTATTGGCTTATACTTTTTCTCTTACATTCAAAGACAATGGGCTATCAAAACTAAGACCAGCCTACTACAGTCAACTTTAGGGTCCAGAGCGAGCCTTTCAAACCCAACTTGTTTCGCTTACAACCTAAACTTATCTTTTTCACAAAATTTTTTTTTGAAGTAGATTTGAAGAACAATTTGTACGCAGGGCTCTAAGTGTTTCGAAACTCAATTTGAAGGTCAACGAGGTTTTTTTATTGAGGACCGGTAATGCTATAAGGATTACTAGTGACATGTTTAACATAGAAATTCGGTATTTGCTAGTAATATCACCAAACGAATCAAGATCTCAAGACTGTTTAAACGCAGCTAAACCACTGTTCAAACTCAAAAGGTAAATACTTCAAGCACTTATAATTTGAAACGTTACATGACTAGATTTTGACTATGAAATAAGATATAATTGCTTGTAATCTGTTTGTTGCAAAACTTTAAATCTCTCCAAATGCTATAGTTTTATTCCATATTTTTGCTTCCTTAGTTTTGGCAGCACATTTTTAGCCCTTTTTTTATTCACATTGATTGAAAGAAGCAAGGTTTTTTAACGACATTGTGCCACCAAGAAGCTGTTTCCATGGATACTGCAACCAACACCAAACTCTTCACTGAATTCTGTTTTAGAGCCACGAAAAGAACTACATTTTTGAACGTATTTTATTCTGTCTTAGTGTGAAAAAGGCTGATGTAAAATAATTTGTTTACGATATTATTTACCATACGTTTTTGCTTATTTGTTAGTTTTAACATAAATTGCGCATATTTTTTCCATTAGTTCTGGCATATATATATATGGCATATATATTCTGGCATATATTATGATATACATATATATACATATATGAATATCAAGAAAAATATCCCGCCGTGTCTGACATACTTTTGCTATACTTGTATGTATATTTGAAACGTCCATAATTTTTGCAAATGGCTTGAATGGATTTGAAAAAAAACCTAGTTATTTCATTTCTTTTTTGTGTTAACACATACATTGTACTGATTTCAAGAATCCTCAAATGCCGTATCTAGATATTCTTCGCCCTGATGAGGGGATACACGTATCAAGAAAAATAATAATAATGACTCCGACAGTAAACTTGCATTTTTTTTCCACAGTTATTCAGCTTTACTTTCTATTCGCTCTATAGTCAGTCTCGTAGGTTTCCTTTCGATTCCTTTTATTTTATTTTATTTGTTTTACAATTTTTATTTCATAATTATTTTATTTATTTAGATAGTTAGTTAGTTTCACGGTCTAATTGCAAGAACCTTGTCATATAAAAATAAACAATAATAATAGAAATTGATTAGAAATAATGCATTTATTTCGATCCTAAAGCCCTCTAGGCTATTGGGAATAACTATTTTAGTACATACCAACTAGGTAATATCAAAAAATTTGAGTCTACACCGTTAACAAAACAGCGAAATCCGTAATTACGCCTGTTTTGCTTGAAAATAATTAATTCCTATTAGTTATTAAAATCATTTCGTCGTTTTTTTAAAATTTTTATTTCACAACGTACGTTCTTGCAAAAAGATATAATTTTTACAAAAATGATGTTTCCTTATTTGGATTTCTGCTAGTTTTTGCAGTTTATAGAGTATTCATGTAGGGCATTCGATTCGATTCTCATCTCAACCCTTGATAGGGAATGACGTAACTACTTCATACTGCTATTTCCTTCGACCCGGAAATCGTTTTCATCGCAAAGCTCCCAGACGTCATGCATTATCAGAAATACGCATCCATACTTGAGATTATCGAAGTGACTACTTAAAATGCGCACCAGTCAATGATTGAATAGATTGCTAATTGTATTTAACCAAACAGATCAAAACTGTGACCAAAAGATCGGAGCAGATTGTGATTAATTCGACCAGCGACTATCTGTGGTAGATCGGAGTGCTGATGAGTGCATTTTATTTGCATATATGGCAATAGGTTTTCCGGGTGTGTAATATCATTTGCCATACAGGCAAATCTTGACGATTACCTGCCTTTGTTGTGTGATGGGTATAGTGAGTTGTTGTTTTTATCTTATGTATTTGGTGGAGGGAGTTGTTGTTGATGGTGATCGATATCAACGGCTATGAATCAAACATTGTATAGTCATTCATGTATTACTCTTTTTCTGTGATATTTTCTATACTTTTAAGTAGCAAGCAGGTTACCATAGCAATGTCAAATTTATCAATCAACTAGCTATCCTCTAGTTAGGCTAGATAATACCACGTGATATGATCTTGTGACTATGATTATGACTATACGCCGCCTTCAAGTTAGTGCACATCAAGTCTCTGAATGATTTACCAATGCATTCCGCTCCTCGTTCACTCAATTTTATCGTCTGATATATTCTTTATTCGTGTTTTGTAAACATGGTGAATCACACAAACCGACTGCTTGAGAGACTACTGAGTAGATAGTGGTGAACCAATCAGTGGTGACACCAGGGAAAAACGTTTGCGCATGCGTGCACTTCAGCACGTTTTCTAAGAATTTTGAAGAGTTTGAGTGAGAAAATAAATGTTTGTTTTCTCCAAGTATACAAAAAAGTTTGAGAGTATACTTTTGTCAGACCAAGATACTGTATTAACAAACACAATATGAAAGAATTAGTCTTAAGTTTCAAGCATGGACACTATGAGTTTTGGCATTTTGTGAAGTCCAATTTATAATTAAGGCATGTTTGAAAGTCAAATTTACATATGATTTGACTAATTTGCATACGGATTCAGAGCATGCGCAGACGTTTTTCACTAGTGTCATCAGTGGTGACATGAAACTACACAGGTAGCCCGCTGCTGGCTTTAGAAGAAGTACCACAGGTGCGCGTGCGTAGATTTAACTTGGACTTGTGGCTCCCTTCCCAAGGACTCAGACTATTATTGGTTCCCCATAGTTAAAATGRCATAGCACGCATACAATACTAGTACCTAACCGGTCAATGCTGATTGAGCACGAGTAGTAATCCAGGATATATTTTTAGATGTTTTGAAAAAATATTTTGCTAGTAGAAAAGATAATCTCATGCAATTTCTTAATTGATGATAGATGAGGATCATAATTGTTCCTAATTTTGCAGCAAAGGCAGGCTTGCGCTTGTTCGTTGCGCCGTTTTGAAGTTTAAGCAGGACATCTGTCATCAGCACAGAGGATGTTAAGATGCATAGATTACCTAAGACAGCCTTATCTTTAAACTATTGGTTATAGACTGATATTTGGAGCCTCTTGTTACGTTGCTATTCATATAAGAGTGTCATCCGCAATTGTAACCGGCTGAAATTGTTATATTTATTAACTAGATTGGAGTTAAGTGTGTTTGTGTCATTTGTGGTTAATTATGGGCGTTCATCTTCCTCCCTTGCACATTTTTTAGACCTACAACGATGACCTAGATATCACGCAACAAACACAAAAAATGATAACTTTCCTGAAATTCCTTGATAGCACCATATGATAATTGCTTTCGCCACAATTGGTGCAAATTCTCCCCCGTTGGATGGCCAACTGCAAACCGGCAGTACTGGGTTATAAGGCCACGGTAACATAACAATTACTGCAAAACGTTTATAGCTCTTGGCGCAATTCCCTCAGTTTGACTTCCTTCATTATATTAGCCTACTTTCGTTTTCTTGGAACTTGGGTATTTTACAAAAAAAGTTTCGAATTAAGCCTTAGCTCCGAAGAACTAAAGAAGAATTGCAGGTTATCAGTCAGGGCTTGCCAGGAATCCCCAAACCGAGTGGCACCCGGCGTTAATGCACCTAAGGTTTAGAGTGAAACGGCGTACGTGAGTTAGGGGAATTTCAGTGAAGGACGGAACATCACTACTTCCTCTTAAGATGCATATCATTTAATGATAGCTTTTATTGTTCATTATATGTAATGTTTCGCTTTGCTCACTTTTACTTTAATTACGTGTAACATTCTTACTATTTGCATCTTAAAAAACTGAGGCGAAGGCGGAGGGGAGGGGGGGGGGCCAAGGTAGCAAGCTCCTCCGTCTTCCCATTCGTGGCAACAAAATGGCGGCTCTGTAGAATGTATATTATTTATATTATTTATTTATATTATTTATTTATTTATTTTATTATTTTTAATAAAACGTAAAAAAAGTAATGCCAGAAGATCATGCCGATTTTGAAGGTTTCTTTTTCTTTTTTGCCTTATCGTTGTTTCGAGGGCTCGTGAAACAAAATGGCGAATTCAGTTTTGAATCCCCCCTCTCCCCTTTTGGAAAATCCTGGCTACGCCCCTGAATAAACTATGTATGCTCATAACTCGCCTAAGGACACAACACATTCATTCGTGGAGCAAGAATGCTGTCGAAGCCTAATCTGCTATCAGATTATCAGCTACCGTTAGAGCCTCTAGAAAAATTGGACGTTTGAAAAGCTGCAGCTTGCATATGAGACCAGGATTTGGTGCTCTACGCCTTTACCTCCAACGACCCTGCGCAGGAATTCCGACAAAATTTTTATAAAAAACTCCCTGAATGAGGTCGTGAAGAAACTCAAGAAAGGGAATAGATCTTTCGCGTTTATCGGTGTTCGGCTCGCACGTAATCACCACAACTTATTAGGTCATGCACCTGACTTCCGTTCCTGTGTTGCATTTAGGTCAAACTTCTCTTAGCACCAGAGCTATCGGTTAGAGTAAAAAACGGACAGTGAGGGGCTAAGCAATCTTGTGCCAATAGGCCGATAGGATTATTCGTAAAACTATCCTTTTCTAGCTTTATGTGTCGTGTGGGATTTTCAGTACCATCCGAAATAGTATCTAGAAAACGCAGAGGCATTTTTGACTCTCTTTGAATGCAGGTATTCGTTATGAGATTCATTCAACTCCTGATAGAAACCAACAATTTTATTCTATACAGAGTCATGAAAGGAGCTGCTTACACACTCCCAAATGAGTACATCAGTCCCGTTCAATCACAGTAACGGACATGATTTCAAGAAGAACGATTCTCCTTCTCGGTTATTACGATAAGAACTACTAGAATCCTGACTTCAGGTTTCAGTACTGAAATCCTGAGAGTAGCAATTACAAGAGTAAAACTGAAGTACGAAAAGAATTCTGGTAGTGCAATCAAGGTGTATTTAATTTTACTGTTCGCAGTGGAACATGAACGAAAAAGTAAGCTACTTTCAAGGAAACTCTTTTGCATCTCTTTTCCCACTCTGCCCGGCATTTATCTTGCTAAAATCCAAACATGCTTTATGTTATCAAAGTTTTTAAAGTCAATCAAGGTTTGCACCGTGTGGCAATCATGGGCCTTTTAAGCCAAACTTATGGAATTTAATTTTGGCCTATAGTTACTACCCTGCAAGCAGTTCCCTTTTACCCCCTCCACGGTAGAGGAGGTGAAAGGAGACTGAAATTTTGGGCCGTATATAAAGGGAGACTGCGTCCATCAGATAGTGTAACTTCCTGGATTAACTTCGGATATATGGTGGTATTCGGGCATTTCAAAGCATTCCAAAAATCTTGAAAATGCAAACGACCCTAAGAAATATCTATCGTTTCTGTTTTTGCATGCCTAAAAAGCCAGTAATCAATGTCTGTAACGTAACTTCCCAATTGGCGCAAAAATGTAAATTATGCGGAAAATGTAACAAAAGGGTGAAAAGTTTGGTAAGGAAGTTAGGTGTCATGCATAGTCTATGTGCGCGCTGTTATAAGGCGCTGTCACTCATCGCTGTCCATGTCTGTTCATGCTTGTTTTCTCTGCTGAAACGCATATGTGGGTTGAGTTTGCACCGAATTAAAATAAAAATCCTTTATTGATTTGCAAATTGGACTCAGTTCTTAATTCAATGACCAACGCTACCTTTTGTGACTAATTAGTTGTTAATTGGTGCATTAATCAAAAACCGAAAAAGAAAGAAAAGCTGAGGCTATAGAATCTTCCTGAAACTCGTAACCAACCACAACATTTCCAGAAAAGAAATTATCCAAACGCCGTATCAAATCACGTGCCATTCGGGCTTTTCGATAATTTGTCTTTTCAACTAAAAAACCCTTGACATGTTTTGACACTCTCTAAATTTAGTTGACAGCTCGATATGTGCTAATTGTTTCACTATTACAATAGCTAATTTTTCTTTTGACCTTTGTTTGGACATCTCTCTTTGTTCTAGCGATCAAGACGGGTCGACCCGTCGCGTCAGATAAGACGCTTCGTGTTGCATCATGGGTAGTACATTGTGACCCCGGACAATGCCTAATAATAATAGGAGCATTGCGTAAATTTTTAATATCCAAGATGTGCACTTGTCAATGTTCTAGTCTATTCTAGTTATATTACAAAGGATTTTTTCTTGGTTATTCCACGATGGCAAACTTAAGTTATGCCTTTCGAGAGAACGCACTAAATATGTACAGGAATGACGTTCGTGGCTTATTGGATTCAGTAAGTTTGCATGACGCCAAGATCAGAGTATTTAAACCTCAGAATTCAGTACTAGCTACATCGTAGCTTGTAATATAATCGTTCTTATCGTACATAAGGCTTCTTGTTTCTATTGCAGTTCGTGTTTACCGTGAATTTTCGTAAAATTTTCGTTCTGTATTTCGTGTTTATTCTTTGAGTGTTTATCTTCATCAAAGGAAAATTAATTCAAAACAAAAGGTTTGTTTGCTTAGAGGAAAATAGCTCTATCAACAAAGATTTATAGAGTCATGCAATAAAACTAAACATCTTTAATGTTTGCGGGATATTCAGTACGATATTCTTGAATCTATTTTCACATTTATTGAGCTTAACTTTATTGAAAGCTTCCAAAATCACCCTAGTTTTAACTTAACCTTGGGGTTCTACCCCGTTTACAAAGCTCAAGCCCAATTTTTTTTWAAATCGAAAACCTACTTGTTCAAAAATTACTGAAGTCTAAATATTTTACTTACCTGGGTTGTTAGAAATCTTCAGGGAGACTTCAGAGAACAGCAGAAAAATCCCAACCACATAGCTCACAGTCAACAAGTTCCCATGGCAACCTGCACCATGCTTCCCATACTCCCCTCAAGAGCCCACATTCCCTCGGGGGGACGTCAGGTACAAACAACCTGCGTGATCATCAGCAGGGAAGTACGAAGCACAAACAGTTTGTTGATCCTTATTTAGCTGCTTTGACTAAAGAAACCCGTGGAAAGACAAAACAGAGATATTCGGTAGGTTGGAACTCAAATTGTATTGCACCAGTTTGGAAAAATTACCAGCCATATATTATTTATCCCACTGAGGGATGGGGTTATACCACAAACAGTTATCTAATAATATTAATAGGACAACAAAAACTGTATCATGCTAAATCATTGGAATTTTTTTCCAAATTACACACAGCAGGTACATGTAGATATTACGAGGAAGAGGGGGTTTGGGGCCCATCCCCCCCCCCCCCTTTTATCTTTGAAGGGGGTTCAGTTTTGCAGATGGCTAGATTTTAAAGTATTGTTTATTAATAACTATGTAATATTGATAAAAGTAATTATTTAATGGATAATATTTACAGAATCATGTATTTAGTGTGTGTATGTACAACAAATTGTGAACAGGCATTCAAGAACTGGAGGTGCAACTTGTTTAGGTCAATATAAATTTTGCATTGGCAGCCGTGATTGTGGTCAGAAGCAATGCAGTATTTTTGCATGAAAAGAGAATATTATTTCTCAAAGGAGAAAATTTTTTTTYCGTTTTGCCCTCTAACATGGCTACTATGATGTCACATGAAAAACCTTTATTTGACGATGCACAATGTTAGTCTATCTTGAGGTAGAGTGCATACCATATTTATTCATGAAAAACCTTGTAGGGAATTGCATAAACTAGACCATAGTCCTTCAGTAGACCAAAGACCGACAACAGTTTGCACTAATTTGTACAATTTTGTTAGTTTATAAATTTTTCACAGATAAATGGTATGTACTCTAACAGATATTAATTATCTTTTAGTCTACAGATTACTTGATGCAATGGTAGGAAGTCTGATCTTCAATCTTTTATCTCGCAACAATAAGAAGTGCAATCTGTTTTTAGTTGCATCAGGGTAGTATCATCTACACGACTGTGTGAAGTGGCTTCAAGGCAACTGGAAGCACATAAAAACTGAAACATTCTGTTTATTTTACTGTTTTAGTTCATGCATACATATTGAGCTATTATGTATATGTTCATGAACCTTTCCCTTCACCAAGATTGTACTTACTTCAGAAGCAGAAAACATATTTAATACAGTAACAAAAAGTTGTTCATATAGTAACAAAGTTTTTACTTGCTTCAGATTTACTATGTAACTTTTTATTTTTAAAGACAGATCAATACAGATCATAACAAATGAAGTAGGACTTTAATACAGTACTCTACACTTATTAATATTGTATCTTTTGATTCCTAAACAAAGAACATTTTATGAAACACACTATTCTGGGGATTAATCTCTAGGGATGATAATACAGGTGCATTTAGGGGTTGGTGTCTATTTTTAAAAGTTCCATGTAAAAGCTAAAGAAATTTTACACATTTCAGTGTGGATGTTACATTTTTAAACTGATGATATTTTTTGAAAGGTGCCCTCGATTTACTAGAAACAGTACTATCAACTAAAAAAAATCGCAATAAGAACTTCACTCTGTTTAGCATAAATATTTGTGATATATTTTGGAATATTTAGGGAAAGTTTTATATTTGAATCACATTTTAATCATCACATCCTAAGAACTCAAAATCAGAATAAAACAAACAAAATTTTTTAATGAGTAAATATACTGTGATCAATCTAACTATCTGAACTCAATTTTTTCTTGGTTGTTGAATTGATATATTAGCTCCCTTTCCGCCTGCACCTGGTGGCCTTTTTTCATGTTGCGGCACTGGTTTTACATGTGCCACTTTTGCAGCTTCCGGGGTGAAATCTGCATTCCCCTTGGCTATTACTCCTGAAACTACCAGCTTGGTGTTGTCCCTGAAAAAAATAAAAAATATGGTAGATTGGTCAAGAGATTAACGGCTTTATCAATTCTAATCTAGGCACATGCACAGACATAACCCTAGTTGTACAACACAAATACATAGTGATTGTCCTCAGACCGTAAAATAGTTAGTATAGTAATAAGAGTTAGTAGATCATATTTATATTCTTTTCTTTTGTGTTTATTTGACTATTAAATACACTGACTTAAATAGAATTTAACTAGTTTCACAGTCTGAGGAAAACCAGTCTAAATGTAAAGCATTATTTAATAGAGTACAAACATTAGGAGCATGCAACCTAAGTTTTTAGAGTGATTTTCATATGATCGTGAAAGAATAGGCAAACTAATAGTTAGTAGTAGACTCTAAACCAATGATTTTCTTTTGTTCTTTATCAACTATTACAAACTAAATGGACTATTTTCTTTCACGGTCATATGGCAATCACTCTAGTAATAGATAGTGATAAATTCGGCTAATTCTATATTGTTGAAGTACTGATTAATAAACAAGCTGGAATGTTTTGTCATGTTTAAAACTAAGAGGTGTAGCGAGTGGCTTTAGACCTGATAAAACATGATCTGCAAGTTCATTAAACATAGAAAATTGTCTTGCTAGTTAGTGCTACCCTACCATTGCCATGAAGGACATACATGCAATGCTATATATGTGCATTGCTGTTAAATGTACCATTCTACCTGTGTGCAACAATCTATTGGTTTGCTATTTGCAAGTTGAAAGATTCTTTCGCTTGATAACAACATTCCACAAATAGCCTTTGCTTAGATTTTCAGTGGTATAGCAAGGAGTTTTACTAAAACTGTGGATATGGAAGGAAATGTTTAAGCAAGATGCCTGGGGGGGGGGGGGGGGGGGGGGGAAGGGGGAAGGGCACCTTTGGAATTGACTCATACGTTATAGATGGCGTTTACTAAAGAATGATGTATTCATTTATATTAAAAGATTATCTTCATTTAAAAAAAAAATACACGCTGGGGGTGAAGGTAAGCATTTTAGTTAAATCACGAGGTCTATTAACGAAAGGATCATAATTAGCTTGCAGGATTTATCATTTTCGTTTATAAATATATCCAAGATAGCATAAAAATAATGTAATTTCTATTGGTATAAATCATACATGCATGTATGCAATTTGTGTGTATATTATGTGCCAATTAATAATAACACAACACTAAAACAAACACAACAATCATCATAAATCCATAGAGTAAAAAGTAGCAAATTAGAGACAATTTTGCCAAGAGGCATGCATCAATGTTCTACGCGTGCAGAAAAACTATGATCCACGCGCAAAAAATATTAGAATAGCCCTAAAAGCGTCTAAATTAACCACTTTTAAGTGAATAAATATTACAACAAAAACATCATTGCCTTTGTTAGATATAAATGGCTAAAATGCTTGGCTTTGAGATTCTTAGCACGTGCTCTATTAAAAGTTAATACAAGGTCACGATACGAGCTTGTTGTTTATGACAAACCTTTCCTTTGGCTCAGCAAATTCTTCATTTTCCGCCTTCTCCTCTGGAGTTTCAGGTGGTGGTTGACTTGTGTGGTGATGCTTGGAAGCAATTCTCATACCTCCAGCTTTAACTAAATATTTTTTCCCAAAAAAATTAGTATACATTGTACACTTGTACACGTTTCGGTAAAAATTGCAGTTAAGGTAAAATGGATCCTTCGAGAATTCCGACTGGCAAACACAATTTTGAAGCTTTTTGATTCAAACTTACCTGCAGGAGGGTGACCACCCTTTAGTTCTTGCTCTTCAGGAGGTGAAGACATTATTCTTTAACCTACAAAACTAGGAAAGTTGTATCGAAATACTGTTTTTTAAGTCCAAGTCGAAGTCTTGCTGGGGTAAACAGCTGGAAAGAACGAGCTAAATCGTAAAGTTATTAGGTCTATGCTGATTGGATAATCTTTACACGTGTTTTCTAATCTAGTCTCTGATTGGCTAACAATCATGAAACAAATTATTGGAACTGGATTCTTAAATTGAATGGACTTTGGAGCTTGGATCGGGCCACATTTAGAGGAAAAAAACCAGGTTTTTCTTTTTTCTTCATACCTTATATGATAGTGCGTTATGATAAATATACATATTAATATACACCTACTTTTAAGAACGTTGTCATACGATATTAGAACATTAGTAATTTAGGGGGAAAGGAATACATGAAAGACAAAAGAAAAAGTTCAGCTTCAGTGATCTTCTTTTGTTTTTTTATATAACTCCTATCCCACTAAATCACTAATGTTCTATTTTCGTATGATAACGTTCTTTCCAGTATGTGTACATGGAATTCTTCATATTATAAAATGATTTATAAACAAATAACATGTATAAAATGCAAAAAATCCATGTTGGTATCCCTGTGTTTTCAAAATTTCCAGCACGTGGAACGCCTGTTAGATATTGAATTTTTCATCTTACTTCGAGAACCTAAGAGAAAGGTTGCAGACATCTGTGTTTTTCTACATTTTTTAAAGAATATCCTTTTACCCGAAGTATTGTTTGTTTCACTTATGAGTTTCAGATGCTAGAAATCTTTGACCATGTTTCTTTTTAGATTTCTCTTTGTTGCTTTACTGGTTGTTGGTGTGACGTGTAAAAAGACTTCCAATGCTCTAAAACTTTTAGAAAAGGAAAGCAAAAAAGCCTCAACATGCAGGAGGTTCGACTTTAAGTCTCTCATGCGACTGAGAGAAGACGAATCTTGGAAAGAACTGCTTCCTTGTCTGTTGAAAGCCTTAGATTCCTCGACTGGAGATCCTGTGTTATGGACCATGCTTGGCGAGGTTTTTGACCATAAAAACGAAAAATCAAAGGCAAATGTATGTTTTAGGGAATCATCTAGACTTATGGGAAAGCTGTCTAAATTCATAAAGAAGTGGTACTTCTTAGGCCCTTTTACTGTTGGCAAGAATGAAGTAGATGGTGATCCACTAGAAGACTTTGGTGGAATCAAAAACGTCACCAAACATCGCTGGACAAAGAAAGCATTTTATTACTCTGAGTTACTTATCAAAGGAGAACTGAAGTGGGCCACAATAGATGTTAAAAATGAACAAGAAAGTATCAATGTTGCTCCACCAGCTGAATGGAATGAACTTATACTGAGTTTACAGTCTATTGGAATAGCTGAATGGCAGGGGTGGATAGTTGGAGATTTTGTGGTCAATGAAGATGGCTCATATTTGTTTCAGTGTCTTGGGGCTAGTTTAGTTTATGTCGATAAAACGATTTTTACTGGTGATCTTTACAAAAGGCATCAATTTTGGTAAGTTGAATAATAATGAATTAAATAGCTGTGATTAATATCACTGACAAATATCATGATTTCCCATAATACCTATTATGGACTTTGTCTGGCCTGGCCTCGTATTAACCATAATACGACATGGTCAAATGATCTCCACTAATGGAARTGCAATTAGGTGTGACAGCTGGTATTAATGAAAAGACTGGGTTATGTTTCTAATTCTGAACCCCTCCCCCAAAGAAACAGCGTGGTCAAAATGATACACTTTCATTTTTTACTTTTTTCGGAAGATAATATATCTACTTTCTATTGTTTTTTTCTTTGAATATGGTTATACATTGCACCTTGTATAGGATTGTCTGAAACCTTGGCGAAAAATGGAAATGTAAACCATAGTCAAACTAGCTTAATCTGTTTGTAAATACTTCATTTGAAATGCATAAATTTTGTATAAAGTTTTTGCAATTTTTGTGACAAAAGCTATCACAAGAACAGCTGATATGTCATGCCTTATAAACCTTATGCATTTCATCCAGAATAGTTTATACAGTTACTATTAAAATCATTCATTAAAGTAAACTTTTCATTAATGAATAATTTACATTTTCTACATAGGCATCCCATCTACCTGAAGCGTGGAGTCCACACARCTAAGGTTAAGCTAAGAGCAAAGGGGCCCTTAAGCTTTAACTTTCGCCTCATGCAAATTCAAGAAAAAAATACAATTGAAATTCTTCCTCCTTCATTCCTTCCTGATCTTGTTCAAGGCAAAATTTTTGGCAAATATATATCATTTCCATTGAATAACCTTCATTCCTCAAACTGGCTCAAAGTTACAAAGGTATCTTTGATGTCACACTCCATTACTTTGCCACTCACAGTTTCATTGTCTGGTAATACCAATAGTTTTACAGTTGCACCAGGTCAAATAAAACCTATTGTTATTGAAATCGGATATAAAGATGAAAGCGTTGAAAAGAAACCACTTGATGAAGATTGCAAAGATTTGAGCTTAAACTTAAAGTTATCATTCAATGGAGGAAAAGAACAGAAGGTGAACGTCAACTTAAGGTGTCGAAAGATAACAGAATCTTTTCTTTTCACCTTTCTTGATCATGATGGATCAATTCAACATGCTGCTGCAATTCCACCACTGAAAGAATGTAAATCCAAGACATGCCCAGTGCTTGTATCACTTCATGGAACTAGTAAGTTTTATCTGTATAGAAACTTTGCACCATCATGGGATGGCAGCCATGACACTGGAAACAGAAAGAATTCAGTGTGCACCCATCATGGCTGTCATCTTGTGATGGTCCAAAGCCTCTATTGAACATTATAGATAGGTGGACAGACAGGTGGACATATAGTGATGGAAGCACTATAAGCTCTTACCATTGCAACTTGAGTTTCATTTGCATACTCATTGTCATGTGAAAGCAAAATCCTTTCTTGATTCTCTCACAGAGCACAGCTATAACCATTCTAAACAGGGATTAATTTAAGTGGGAAGAAGAAAGAAATCTATATAAATGCTTGAAAATATAAAAACCCTTTTTTTATTTGCTTTAAACCCAAGCTGTGCCACCTCAGAATCAAGCAGATAGCTACAAAAGAATGGAGAATGGCAAATGGGTGTTTGGTGTAGACAATCTCTGGTTACTTGCCCCCACAAGGCATGGAGCACATAACTGGGAGGGTCCAGGTACACTGACCTCTATGAGAGCCCTTGAATGCTTGGCACAATACACCCAGGAGGCCACTTGGGTGGAATATAAAGCTGATGACAAGAGGATAGTAATTGCTGGTCATTCAATGGGAGGACATGGTGCCTGGTATGTGCCTGCTATTTGACCATCCAAACACCCAACTAAGTAGACAAACAAACAGACAGACAGATAGTATAACAGACAAACCAGACAATAGACATGGTTTAAACCAGACAACTAGCTATATTTCAAGACGTCTGGAATTTTGGCTTTACTTAAAGAAATATCCCTCCCCCTCCCCCACTCCACCCNCCCCACCCCCTTCAGCCATATATAGTTTTATTTGATCAAAGTAATGGATTAGTAGTAAAATGGGCCATTACTTGGAGGTGAAGCAAAATTTGGTAAAGCCAGCCTCCCCCTTTTATTGTTGCTGGATCCACCCCTGCAACAGTCTGAGTTGGTACACTTCTTGGGCAATGTTAGTGGCCCTTGCTCAGACAAACTATTTCCAATCCATTTTGATYGATTAGTTCCAGTCTCTACTACTCAGCTTGACTTTGCTGCTTGCATCGATAAAAGGAAAATAATGCCGATGCAAGTATTTTAATTCTTTTACAGGCAACTTGGAACACATTATCCAGATCAGACCTTAGCCTTGATATCAGCAGCAGGCTGGATCAGGAAAGAGGACTATGGGGATTCAAACCTGTTCTTTAGGCATGACGTAAGCACAAGTCACGTGGACCCTGTTGTCAAGGCAACCATGGAGGCATGTGTGGCCGAGAATGATGCCGACAAACACGTCTCTAACCTTCATGTAAGTGACAGCAATTTTTAACTTTTTTTTTGTTTTTGTTTGGAATGAACGTGGGTCGTGAATTTCATACTCAGTGATAGGGAGGGCTACAATCATTCCTAAAAAGTTTACTGCGAATTCTCCATCCCTTTCACCCACAATATAAAACGTATCTTTCCTTAGAGTACCCTCCCTTAGCTAACCCTTACCATTTGTTTTTACAGTTCCATCCAGAGATGTTGTGGTTATAATCATAGTTCAATCCCTATTGTTTTTTTTTTACTTTAGGGCCTACCTATCATGATTAGAGTAGGTGCTGCTGACCGCACAGTCCATCCTTATTATTCACGCCGAATGTATCGGTTACTAAGGCAACAGCGCAGTAACGTGACTTTCGATGAGATTCCCAAAAAGGRGCACTGGTGGTGGGATACGTACGAAACAAATGATGGAGGTGTTACCAATGATCCAGTCATCCGGGGATTTGCTATCAAGCACGCAAAGAATGTTGGGTCATCAGTGCAAAACCATGGTAAGTACAAGGACAAGAGACTGACAAAGAGATGAGATTATTTTCGTGGTATACCACGTGAATTAGTGAATAATTTTCCTTGTCTTCTACATTCTTCTACTCTCTTAGTCCCCATTGGCATTCTTCTTCTCATCCTCTTACTTCTCCTTCCTAACCATTTCCTTTAGCTTCTCTTTCAAATGATACATTCTGTGTACAAATAGCCATGCGTAGTTGCATGTCATGGCCCTGAGGATGGCCGAAAGCTCAGTAATGATCAAGCCCAGAATACATAGTTGATGCGGTTAGTTTTTCATGTAGAGAATTTTCTGTATTTCACTCTTTTGAAATTCTTCCATCATTAATGAAAAATAATGATTGTTTTTAGAGCCCAATTATTCTCCCCTAGAGCGAAAGTTTCCTTTTGTTTCGTTCAAAGTTTGAGTCCTCGATCATTTAAAACCTTTTAGTTATACTTGTTATTTCACTATTCTTAGTATGTGATCCCAACAACAAGAATAAAGAATGTAATGATGTCGACAACCCTGCCAAGAAATATCAACAGCAACCGGACGACACTGTTGACAGGAATCATGTTGGTGAATTCACCTTATTGGTTTACAACCCGGCATCCATAGCAGGTAAAGTGCACTTGAGTTTCTAGAGAGCATTTATTAACCGGCAGGTCTTATTTAGAATACAATTTATGACTCCTGCCTAAGAGTGCATATTAATTGGGATTTTAGGCGTAGATAACGAGGCATTCAAGGGTGGCACAGCAGTAGCGCACTCACCTCCTGGGTCTCGGGTTTGATCTTAGTGGAGTTTTGTATTTGGYCCCCCTTAGTTTTAGGTTTTTTTCCAGGCTCTTCGGCTTTCCTCCCTCTATTTTGTGAGTTATTATAGTGGCGGCGGAAGCTGAAAATCTTTGGGAGGGGGGGGGGCACTGAAATATTATATTTAACGCTATGTGTTAATGACCGCTGTTTTGTTTGATTGCATGCGCCGTCAAACTATCGAATCTATGCATTTATATTTCATGCGAACCAATTTTTGTTGTTTTTTTTTTGGGTGGGGGGAGGGGGGCAGGCCCCCAAAAACATTTTGTGGAGGGCGCACGTGCCCCCCGGCCCCCCCGGTTCCGCCGCCCCTGTATTATGGTTCGATTTGTGAGTTAGCTTTAGGATGACTTACCCTGGTCCCAGAGGTTTCTCGTTTTTTTTTTCTCTCTGTAAAATCGCCGCGAAAACTACGAGAAACCTCTGGGACCAGGGTAGCGCTGACTTAGATCAGCCCAAAAGTTGTTTCAGGGTTTGTTAAAATTCATATTCATTTTTGTTGTTGTTGTAACGCTGCTTCGGGCGGTTCATCTGAACAGGTGTGCGTGGTGTGAGGGTTGTACAACAGTTGATCCCCTTCAGACAAAGCACGATACAAATACAACTGTCACCGGGTACGGCAAGTCTGACAACACAAAATGTTGCGAGGTTGTCTTTAAGTGAGCCAGCAGTGTCACCCGTTCATTGGAATCAGCGTAACATCAGGATAGATGACACTTACTTCAAATCTGAGGAACCTCACGGTAAGTCCTAGGTTAGACCATGGAAATTTCTATATTATAAAATAACCTACCTCCCGCTAACCCGTAAGACTAATCGATCTCCATTTTCTCCTCCTCAAAACCACTAAACCACAAGCACACTAAATTCCAATTCTTCGATCTGAGTTAGCCATGCCCTGACTTTGATCAGCACAGAGGCTGTTTCAGGGTTCGATATGTGAGTTAGCCATGCCCTGACTTTGATCAGCGCAGAGGTTGTTTCAGGGTTCGATATGTGAGTTAGCCATGCCCTGACTTTGATCAGCCCAGAGGTTAATTTAGGGTTCGATGTGTGAGTTAGCTATGCCCTGACTTTGATCAGCCCAGAGGTTGTTTCAGGGTTTGATCTGTGAGTTATAGCCATGCCGTGACTTTGATCAGCACCTTTGCATCTGGTAATTTCAAATGCCATGTTTTTTTTATGTTTGCAGGCTTCTCCGCCAAACACGTGCTCTCATTTTGCAAAACGGTGTTACAAGACTGGAAGATATGTGAAAATGAGGCCTTGGAATCCGATGTTAGCCGAGGCCCCTTAAATATGGGACCTGCTCGAAGGGTCGCGGAGAGTCCCTTTCTGATCGTTACTGGTAACAAATATTTTTATCGTTAGAGCAGTTTTTTATATGAGAAGAAAACATACCTGACTGACTTACAGCACTTACGCGATTAAGCATGCCGTAACATCGAAATGGCTTCCCATTGTCGTAACTCATCCAACCACAACGCGTAGCTGCGGCTGCAGTAAGATACGGTATGGCTACAGTTAGACTCCCAATTTGCAATATCGCTTCCCTCTCATACGAAGACTGCCCTTTTCTTACGGGGAAGAATCGATACTACAAATTTGTGATCGTATAATTTATTGGTTAAAGCGTACGAAAACGATAGGAAACAGTCTATTCCAATTCTTATTTCAGGAACAAAGTCTGACTCTTCAACCGCCTCTCGTCTTCTTGAGGGAGCTCTGTACATCGCCAATCAATTCTACCTTACTTCAGAAACTATAGCTCACGTAATCGCAGACAAAGAGTTGGACCAATCAACTGCCTCGAATTTCAACTTAATTGTGATTGGTGGACCCGATGTCAACTCTTGGGCAGGTGGATTTCATAAAAATGTTCCTTTGAAATTCCTTGAAAAGAAGTTACTTTTGAGTGAGTACTTTTATGTTGTATTATTTTTCTCCTCTCTTCTCTTCTCCTTTGAGCTCCTTTCCTCTTTCTTTTCCTTCCTCCGTTTTTCTCCTTACCTCGTGTTCGTTCTATTTTTATTGTCTTATAACTTACAGTGCAGCTACTATAACCGGGGCCAAGAGACAAGAGACAAGAGAACCAATTAAAATGTAAAATGAAACAATACATTCCAACTTTGGGTAATGGAGCCTATCAGAAACCTAGACTGCACGAGAATTGTAATTTCACCCTGATAGCCATCGCCATTTTCTCGTGTGAATAAAAAGGCTATTGTTTTCTGCTGCTTTCTGATTGGCTCCACTACCCAAAGTCGGGATGTATTGTTTTTATTCTACAATTTGATTGGTTCTCACTGTCTAAGTTATCCCAGCTATAGTAGTTGTACTGTAATACAAATATTGTGAAGGCACAAGCGGCCAGTTTGCGCTAATACAAGACAGAACACCCTTTTTTCTCCTGTTAGCCAGAAATGCCAATTTAGTGGGAAGGGTGGGTGACGTGGCGGTGAGAGCGCTCGCCTCTCACCAATGCGATCTTTTTTTACGAATCCACAGATAATTGTCAATTCAACTCTGCCCGCACCGGCGCTGTTTTTCTTGCTCCACATTCTGGTTCTCGGCTCGCCCTCGTGTTGACAGGCAACTCATTGGAAGGCCTACAAGATGCCATTCTTCTTGCCACTCCTACTATACTACCAATGGCCCGCTCCCCTTTCTCCAACCTTGTTCCGGATTTTATTGTAACTGGGCCTGATTTTGGTGCTCGGGGTCCTGGGGGATATCTATGTACTGGTTTTTGGGGCAATAGTTGGGAATATCGCCAAGATATCAGCTCTTGTTCTTGCTAGGATAAGGATCTTAAATATTTATGGCTTACCGCACAACTTAGTGCTAATAGAAGAAAATAGAATTTAGAATAGTCCCCTTCAAAGTTACCTGCGTCATTTTGAAAGGTAGCCGTGCTTTTGCATCGAAGCGAGACTAAGGCCCCGTTCACACGTATCCGGAAATTTTTGTATCCGTAAATATTTTTTTTGCGGATACAAAAATTTCCGGATACGTGTGGACGGGGCCTAACGGTGAGCTTGCAATGATAGAGACGTGAATAATTGTTCAAGGTGTTAAAAACGATCGCTATCTTCTCTATCTTTGAAAGCTCACCGTTCGTCTCGATCGCTTCGATGCAAAGGCACGGCAACCTTTCAAGATGGCGCAGGGAGCTGTGAAGGGGACTATTGGTTTTTGCAAATATGTAGAAAATATTATAAATGAGACAATTAAGATTAAATATCTTATTAGTGAAAACTGATTGCAACTCTTGCAAGCATCAGTCCGGTTCATTACCAGTTTTGGTAATATGCATGACGTCCCAAAATGGCGGCAGAAACGCTTTCCTTGACACTTTTGTATTTAGCCCTGTATTCCTTGACAAAAGGCCCAACCCATTAGCCTTTGCCCGTTGAAAAACGTAAAAAGTATCTTCCCCCATTTTGTTGACAATTTTGCCTACACTGGGGTAAGCTAGAGTAGTTTAGTTTTCATTTACAGTTTGTTTCGCTTGGGGGCATGACAAAATATCGAGGGACAAAGCGATTTGAAATCGTGACTCTTGCCTACATGGAGGTTGGCTAGAGATGAAGGGGCATCGAAGATTCCTTAGCAATCGATGTCGCGTCCGTATCTTTGGAAGGAGGCCATGCTCAGAGAAAAGGAAAGGAAAGGAAAGGAAAATATAAGCAAGAGATTGCTCGTGAAAGAATTTATCGATGCTTGTTTCGACCCCTAAACCAGGGTAGAAAAAAGTCAATGCCAGGTTCAAGGTGCCCTCTCAATGCAGTTTTTGATTGACCAAATTTATTTACTTTTTGTTTCTCTGACTCTTTGGATTCTAAAATGATGCACATGTTATCAAGGTCGATATCACAATGCTGACGTGACCGTCACATGGGTACAGTTATTATCATTACGGTGATTGTCAGTGATGTTGCCAGTGATGTTGCCCCTGGCAACGTAGACATTTTATCGACAAAACGTTTTTGTCGCGCCCAACTCAACTGAGATGTGTAGTAATGGCCATAATTTCATCTGATATTGTACTCGTAGTGCCACAGGGAGGCCGGTATTTCCTGAAAATAACAAAGATATTTTCGTTTCATTTGCCAGTAATTATTAATCGCAATACGTCTTAAATACATGATGTTTATTGGGTCTTATGTCGAGCAAGAACGACTCTTGGAGCATTCAAGAAGAAAAGAATCCTTTCGGCCAATCAGAGAAAGCTGAAATGACGTCATGGAAAATTCCTTCGTATTTTAGCTCGCAGATTTTAATGTTTGTAGAACGTCGTTTTTTTATGAAATAAGAGCTTGGTAAAACTATCAATCTATCTTTACACCAGATGGAACCATCGGGCAAATCCACCAGTAGGTCGAGGTAAGTCATGCAATGGTTTAAGGTTTTTAATTTATTTTCCACTGATTTTCATCGATAATAGATAAACTAGGTTACAAATTGCATAAATACCATGCCAAAGACTTAATTCTATAATCTATCCAATATCAAAATTATTTGCTCGCTTGCTATTTTTTATAGCTTGATGGCATAACTAAGGCCCTATGTGCCATCAGGCGCGAGGCGGCGGGAGGATAGGCCATAAGAGGATAGCATAAATACACGGGTAGTGTTTGATAGGCCAAGTAGAAAAAATCAGTTCAAAGGGTAGAGAAATAGAGAAAGCAAGTACGCTAAACGGAAATGGAGTTTCAATTAACTGAGTTATTTTTAGGCTACTCACGATTTAACTTTGAATATTTTAGTGCAGTTTTGATGGGAAAAGCAATCGTTTTAGTGTCTTGACTAAATCAATGTGCCGATGTTTCAAAATACCGATGTACTTGTGTACATTATCGATGTCCATTTCTGACATGCCTAATTTCATCCATGTCGCCGTGAATTGTGTAGTTTCAACTAAAAAAATGGCAGTGCTGGGTAACTAAAAACTGGGAGTGTTTCGGTGTTCAGGTACCTCCAGCTCCGACGCCTATGCTCCTTGTTCTAATTTTCTATTTTTGTTACCCCCAAGCCGAAAGCCAGAAAAACCGAACAGCAATGTCTATCACACTCCACAGCGACGGGCAGGAACATCTAAAATGCCTGACGAACACCCGATGGAAGAAATAGACCAACCAGTCGACGATGAGGTTTGTTTTGGCCTTAATTGGTTTAGAAACTTAAATATGCAGCTTTGTTTCACGAGCAAACTATACATTTATATCAAATCACTCTAGTCAGGATATTATCGATCACTGACGCAGACTGATTGCTAAACACTATTTTAACTCGACCTTTATATTATGTATCGTAGGTTTAATCAGTCAATAATGGTGTATTAGTTTTTTTTGTAATTTACTAGAGTAACATTAATAAGACCCACAAAGGTATGTGGGATATGAACCAATGTCATTTATATGAAACTTTTTTTACCTGTCAATAATAGCAGTATGTAAATMATTTAACAGGATTTTTTGTTCTCGATATTCTCAATGTGATTTCGTTACTATCACTATGGTAACTGTTACTATGGTTACTATTACTATGGTTACTAGTACTATGGTTTCTGTTAATCTGATTAATGTTACTGCGGTTACTGTTAAAAAGAGATAACTAGCTAAAACCTAGTGGGAGCTACGTCGGTGTTTCTAATGAAACAATAATGATGAAAGGGTAAATTATACACCGTGAAAAGATGAAAAACATTACTGTCGTTTCGGACGCTATTCCTTTGTCGGAGTAAAAACATCGGAGTATATCCGTCGCAGCATTATTGTAGTTACTATTACTGTGGTTACTGTTACTATGGTTAATGTTACTATGATTACTGTTACTGTTATTACCGTTACTGTGGTTATTGTTACTATGGTTACTGTTACTGTGATTACTGTTATTGAGTTTACTGTTGCTATTGTTGTTGATACTGTGGTTACTGTTACTATGGTTACTGCTACTGGTTACTGTTACTATGGTTGCTATTAGTGTCGCTGTGTTATTGTTGGTCACTGCTATTGCTCCCCCCAGTTCCTATCATTCTTCGTGTTGTTGCTATTGCTGTCGCTGTTGTCGTTGTTGTGGCTTTCACTGTCATTATCATATCATTGCTATTGATTTTGCTATTGTAAGCAAGTGTGAAACTTGATGCTCGCACTTGACGCAACATTTGATCCTTTGAGATGTTTGACGTGGTCATCCGATTATTACAACCACTAGACCACTACTTACATTACTTTGCACTACTTCTATTTTGATGTACTGCTACGAAAAAGTTGCACAATTAATCGGAACAATCTGTTTTTCTTTCAGAAAAAAGACCAAGCAAGTGGTAAGTGCGTTGTAGACTATAGATCAACTACAGAATGTCTTGTGTAGTTATCTTATCAATTATTCTGTCTGCATAAATCACGTTCATTACACCGATTCACGTGACCCAATACTACTCATCTGCTCAATAGCTATTTAGTAACAACAACTTGCCGTTGCTTATAGAGGCTTTGCACCATCACGTGATGGCAGCCATGACAGGGGGCAGGAACAACTGATTCTGGTCTAATCTRGTTTATATGAGAAAGGATTCAGTTTCCCAGGGTGAAAAGACTCTATTGTTATGCTGCCCCCTGTCATGGCTGCCATCACGTGATGGTGCAAAGCCTCTATTTTGGACTTTAGGAATCTCACGATTCGTATTAACATGGTCCTATTAACAGTCAACTATTGCCCGCTGCTTTTTCAAAAAAACAATACTGTATTTAAAAAACCAGAGCCATAATTTGCATTGACACACACTCGACTTGCAAAAATCTCTCTCGAGATTTGAAAAAAAGCAAAGGCATATCTTTTATTCTAAACTTGATATACCCCTGACAGTGCGCTCGATTAATCCAAACGAATGGTTTTCATAATGCAATTATTTTCTCAGTATATATTATTGCACTTCTTGTAACTCGATGTCTTCAAAAGCGTTTGTTGGGTTGTCTAGGGTGTATGGTAATAGTG